CATCTTTAACTCAGGAACAACTTATTCAAACATTCACATTTCACTTTAACTTTTTTTTTAACACCACAGTGGCCACATAACCACATGCTGTTTTTTAATTTGGGCAGTCTGAGCCGGAATCTGCTGTTTTAGGACACTTCCCCATTTAAAGGCCTGAGGACAGAAAACTTTCATTTCCTTTTTGTCGCTTTAACCTGGCTTCGCTAATTTCCTGTGAAAGGTCAGTTCAACCAAACAACACAAAGGATTTGTTGTTATTATGACACAGTGAAGATGAATGGATATTTTTAGCAGTAAAAGTTATTTTTACAAGCTTTTAATGGGAACTAGTGTAATATCTATAAACAGAGTGCCAACTAGTGTTTATGTGTTTAAAAAAAGTTTTACAGACTGAAAAGCAGTTCTACACTGCAATCTTTTGGTCTGTTCTCTGCATGTCCATCACGGTGTGGTTCAGATCAGCCGCCAAACAGGAACAGAAAACAACGGGCAGTCAGGACTGTTGAAAGAATCACTGGTGCCAACCTGCCCTCCATTCAGGATTTATACACCTCCACAGTCAGGAAACAGGCAGGAAGTGTCAGTGCAGACCCTTTGCACCCCGGATACAACCCGTTTCAGCTTGTCCCCTCTGGGAGGAGCTACAGAACACTGAAAGCCAAAACAACCAGACACAGGAACAGTTTCTTCCCACAGGCCGATGAACAGTTAAATCACTGTCACCATTATAGATTATGCATTTTTAAAAATATGTACATGTAATCTGTCACTGTGGACATAAATTCTGCATGCAGCATAAACAGTATATTGACATGTATTAATGTACATGCTGTACATAATCATCCAGTCCATATTGATTCACTGCACTATTTGTATAGTTTACAACTTATGGTACACTTGTCTTGTATATTTATAATTTATTTTTATTATATTGTTAGTAATTGGTGCTTTTATATGCATCTGTTTTTCCCCACATACTTTTGTACACAATAGTCCTGTATATTCTTTGCGTTTATTCTTCCAGCTTTGTTGTCCTTGTTCTTAGCAGTTATGCCCATACTTGTGCAAGCAGCCTACATGAGAACAATGCAAAAAAACTGATATGAATTTCTTCTATGTGTGCACAGACTTGGCCAATGAGGTGATTGTGACTAAAGCAGTTAGATCATGACTGTCTCTACAGGAAACATAATATAAAGAATAACAGGACAGAAAGTCCATGGGAATATTTCATGATAACCAAGCACTACATCACTGTAGAGTCAGATAAAGATAGAGCAAGAGAATCCTCTTTAAAAAATCATTCATACAGTTATACAGTGTCTTAACCAGGGGTGTCAAACATACGACCCGTGGGCCAGAACAGGCTCTCGTAAGGGTCCAGCATTTCTAATAAGGTGATTGTATTTATTCCTATAATTTTTGTATGTAGCACAATTTAGAGGACTAGGGCTTTGTGAATACCTTCTATCTAACTCGTTTTTCTTTGAAGCAGATTTCCTAAGTTCTACAGTGAACCATGGTTTGTTAAGGTGTGCGGAGCTTCCTTTGCCTTTAGAAATAAAAGGAAAACATTTATCAAAAACAGAATAAAATTTTGCATAAAAATTGTTGTAAGCCAAATTCACATCAGAAACTTCATACACTGTTTCCCAGGACATCTTTGCTAATAAACTTGAGAAGTTGTTAATGTTATTTTCATTGAAATTTCTAAAACAAGTTCTCTTTGATTTCTTTGTAAGCTGTTTGTTGAGTATAGAAGAAAACTGAAAAACAGGAAAATGATCAGAAATATCTGTATAAAGGATACCAGATTTTATGACATCAGTCAAAGCATTAGTAAAAATATTGTCTATCAGTGTAGAAGATAGGCTAGTTATTCTTGTGGGCTTGCAGATAAGGGGATAAAAATAATTGAAGACAATATATTTATAAGGTCATCTATGTGCTGTTTGTTCTTGTCCAAAAGATTAACATTAAAGTCACCTAATAAATAGCACAGTTTACCCTCTTTGTCGACAAGTTCCAAGATATCTAGAAGACATTCATTAAAGTTTTTGATATCTGTATTAGGAGGACGATATATACATCCTACAATCAATTTTCTTTTCTCAGATTGCACCTCAAGAAAAACACATTCAGTATAACACCCATGAAACTTCATTTCCAAGTCAGATCTCTGTTTGAATTCAAGATCGTTTTGAACATAGAGAGAGACTCCTCCACCTCTACTCCCTCTATATTGGTGAATGGCTGTGTAACCATCGAATTTAAAAAGTGAATGGATTTCATCATTAAGCCAAGTTTCGGTCAATGCAATTATAGAGAAAATGTGGTTCAGTGATGAAAGATAATGGAAAAATTTATCATAGTTTTTCGGGAGACTTCTTATGTTCAAATGGAGAGAAGAAAAGATTTTGGACTCTTTGCAAGATGCAGTGAAAGAGTTAAACTGGTCTTCAGAAAAATAACTACATGTAGAAGGATCATAAATATTAGACTGTTTCCTGTCATATGTGTTAGCATTTGTTGGTGCATATTCTGATGAAAAGAATAAATCAGGATTAAAGCAGGTATTAAAGACCTTGTCATTTTGTGGCTCAAAAGGATGAAAAACCAAGTTGTTATTGTTTGTTAGATTTGGATGGTCACTACCAGAACACAGATTAATACACAATTTCAATTGTTTTTTCCTCGGTGAACACAGAGCATGTTCTGCCATAAGATAAACAGCAAACTGATGACATGGTCATGAGTGCCTGGGCAACAGATTAATGTTCATCCTCCACATTTGAACCGGTGTGCCGCTCTCTCGTTGGACGCTCGCTCATGGGTCGCACTATGAGTCTATCATAATTCAGATAGGCCCATTCCCCCCTTGCTCTTGCAGCTCTCAACTCAGGTAGCAGTTCTTTTCGTTTTTGACGCACAGTCTCTGAATAATCTTCGTTGATGTAGATATGTGAGCCTTTCAGTTTGTTTGCTTTTGAAAGTATGAGCTGTTTGTCTTTGTGTCCGAAGAGTTTGACTGTTATGGGTCTTGGTCTTTTATCACCACTCTTCAACAGCTTCCCAAGACGGTGTGCACGCTCAATTTCGTCATCATCAGGTGATTCTGGGATGCCATCAACTACAATGTTGTTCCTCCTGGACTGGTTTTCCAGATAGTCAACTTTAGCCATCCTTTGTTTGTTATCAGCTTTCAAAGCTTCTGTGTTGGCTTGAAGATGTTTGATAGTGCCAGATGTCAAAGACTCAAAAGTGGTTTTCAACTCATCAACTTCTTTTTGAGAGTATTCTAGGCTCCTTTTGAGATCCTGTACTTCTCTATTCAAGTCATCACAGCGTTTATTGTTGGAGTCATGTATCATTTGAACAAAACCCTTAAAGCTGTTTTCTTGTTGTTTGATTAGGTCTTTATAGAAGGCTTTTTGTTGATCCAAGAGGTCACGTACAGTTGAGAGAGAAACAAAATCCTCTTCACACTTTTTAGGTGGCATTTTTCAGATAAACCGTCAAAGATTAAACAAGAGAATCCTACCAGTCACGTTACCAGTCACACTGATGTTAGTTTGACAGGAGCTGGATCACAATGTTGCAGCTGAAGATCCAGGCTACACACAGGCCACACTGCAGCAGGGGATGGATCACAGTGTTGAGGCTGGAGATCCAGGCTAACCGATTTATCTAGCTATCATCTATTTTTTTTTTTAATTTATTATGTTCTTACCCTTCCTGTTTTTACGTTCTTATCTCATTTAACCTTTATCTTTTGTTATTTTAGTTATAGGTTTTAGTTTTGATGCATTTTATGTCTCTGTTTTAGATCATTCTTACCTAGCTATTAACTCTATTTTATGAGCTAAATAGCTTTTTGTTTATTTGGTTCTTTTTATACCTTTTATCCTATCTTATTGTTTTAGTCCCTCAGCTTTTAGCTCCAGTGTTTCCTCATGGGGGCCTACCACACTGAGAGTTGTTCCTGGTCTCCTGATGGGGGTGCCGTTGGGAGACCGCTCTGACCTGGGTGGCTGAAGGGCACTGCACCTCGGTGTGGATCCTTGTGTCTGCCCGGGTCGGGGTTGTCTCTACGGTGGCGCTCCCTGTGGCCGTGGACCGTGGGCCCTCTCAGTGTGGACAGCCCCCAGAGGTGGCTTTTTCCTTGCCTCGGGTCTCGGCCATGTTTCTTTAGTGATAGCTAGTGTGTGTGTGTGCGTATGTGTATATTTATGTATCTCTATGTGGGGTGGGGGGGTTGGGTTTTCTCTTTTCTTTTAGTTTTCTGTTTTGGATCTTTGTTGTTTTTAACCTCTGTGAGGCACTTTGTGTTACTGTCGTATGAAAAGTGCCATGTAAATAAAGTTGATTTGCTCTTGATTTGAATTAGGAGTTTGACACCCCTGGTCTAAACTATTAAAACCAATAAATGTACTGATGCTGTGGCACAGATAAGGGATTATGATTGATGGACATTATTGTCACCAGATTCCAATGTGAAAAGTATTTTTTAAATGTACCAGCTAAACACAAGCTAAGTGCTAAGTAACTTAACATGTTTACGTGAAGTCTCCCACCCATATAAATGTTGCTGCATCACACAACACACTGGAGGATTAACTAAAGGTTAAACTCCATCACAAAATCAGGACAGGCAGAGGAACTGTTTCTCCTGACAGCATAAAACACATCATGTAACCTGTGCTGCATCTCTGGAGCTGCTGTTAATTCTGAGACCTGATTACTAGATGTCATTGCTCTCAGATTAAGTCATATTAGTACATACTGGTAGGTGTTTGTAATTTGGTTTCAGTGTCATAAAATACCAAAATAGAAGTAATATGACATATTAGTCAAATTACACACACTGAAAAACATGTCACTGCTCATATAATTTGGGCATATTCAAATGACATTTCCACCCACAATATGATTCAGTTTTACTATGAGACCAATGCTGCCACCATGTGGTACACAACGGAGCAACAAATAAGACTTTGAGATTATGTTCAGTGCACTTTATTTACAAAAACATTCCAGTTAAGTTTCCCACTTTCACGCAAGAAATACATACGTTACATGTACCAGTGATTTATCCCATAGTGCACCTGGTGAGATTACAACAGATCAGAAAGTGCATCAGTACAAGTTAAAATGTGTCTCCTTTTATCAGTTACATCAATGAGAAAAATTGGATATCTTTAATGTGCTATTGGACAAATATCAAATACAACACAGATATGACAAAAGGCAACACTAGCATCAGAATAAAAGCATTAATCAAACACTATAATTCCCATAATCACTTTATTTCATATATTAAATCTACATTTTCTTCAGAAAGACAAGTACCACATGAATTATATTTGATTAAGAAACAGCCTTTAAGTCTACTTTGCTTGTATATCCACAAAAGACCTTTTATCCCAACAGAGTGAACAGTTGTATCAACAATTGCTGCAGGAGACAAGAGTCATGCCTCGGCTGTGTGGCTGATGTTTCCACTGCTTTTGTAGTTTTTTCCAAAAGAAGTTCCCGGTGATTCGGCTGCTCACTCTATGATCTGGAGCACGGCATGCTGGTCACATGGAGGGGGCACCAGGGACTAAAATGTCAAAAAACATTATTCAGGAATAAGTTTTACTTGACAAGCGAATAAAATTCAAGTTCACTGGACACTGATCAAGTCCAGTCCATGCGCATTTAGTTTAAAGTGCATGATCAGGATTCATTTCTGTTTTTCGTCAGTGATAAACGAGCAGTTGTATTGTTTCAGAGGTACAGAAACTGTGAGGTGTGACATGCTTCTAAGGGGACCAGCTGAAGTCATTGTCTCTCGCAAAGACCAATACTCACACTTGAGTCTGAAATAGCAGGGCTCACAGTGGGGCCTCCCTTTTCGGATTCGAACCTGGACTCCAGTCTCAGTTCCTCCGAGATGTCGGTGGCAGCCCACACACTGAGAGGGGGAGGGAGAGGTGAGAAGACAATCGAGGACTTTTAAGAGAAATCCAGCTGACCTGTAACGTGGGCCTTTTGTGTCTAAATTATTTCACCAGATTGTCCGCCACCCAAGCACAGAGAAACACTAAGCTTTGTGTCTGTGTAGAAACACGTAAAGTATATAAATATTCTATTAGTGCTATGTGCGTCTGTACCTCATGTAGAGCAGAGAGACGTAGAAGTGACTTTTACGTCTATGTGCTAATGAGCATACTTCAACTAAGTGTGCCATTTTCACAACAGGCACCTACAAGCAAAGCACGACAGCTATAGGACTCGTTCCACTAAACCAATCAAATGCAGAAAACTAGAGACAGAGAGAAACAGCCCACAGGACTACAACACCAGGCCAGATGCCTCTTGCAGACTAGGAGACAAGCTGGTTAAGAAAGACAGAAACATCGCAAGGTGTCAGAAATGCTTCTGCTAGCATTATAAAGGGGCCTATAAAGCTGATTATAAAGTAACTACAGAAATGACTCTTGCTGATCTTGTTAAAGGTGCGGTCACATTAGTCTTCAGTCTGATTACATTTTCCCACAATGTACTGAAACAGGAAGGCATGTCACGGGTCTGGTGCAGGTAACATATATTGGGCAGAAAGATTGTGGGTGTAAGCAGTGTCCAGTCAAGCTTCAGTCCAAATGTAGCTCAAAATTTAAACAAATTATTCAATATCAGCAAAAGAAAATGCTAATTAAAAGTGCATTGCCATTATGCTGTGTTCACATGGAATCAGGCAGACAGTTGACGAAAGACGAACACCCTAAAGACGGCAGCATAAAGTTGAAATATTAAACTTTTTTTTTTTTAACTGTTTTTATTTTATTCTTCAGGTAATCTGTACAAAAGCAAACAGCACAAACAGAAGAAGTAGGTGAGGTAAAGTAAGACATAAATAACTAAAAACAAATCAATGGTACAATCAATATTAGCTGTAAAATAGATAAATAACAGAAAAAATGAAATAAATAACATAATAATTAAAATAATTCAGTAAATAAGCAGATAACTGAATATAACCTGGAACACATGGAAGGTTGTTAAAATGGTCCAGGAAGGGGTGGATAGTAGTGATGGCCAAATTAAGCCTCATGAAGCATTTTCTTTATTTACTGAGCCCACTAGATGGCACTCATGGCTAAAAGAGAGAGGCTCAAGGAATGGCAATTCAGTGTGCTTTCAACCTTTTGATGAACAAAAAGCACCATCTAGTGGGCTCAGAAAATAAAGAAAATGCTTCATGAGGCTTCATTTGGCCATCACTACTGGATAGAGCCCTGACTGCGGTATCTCGGCTGTTCTAGCTTTAGGTGTGACATCACCTGAAGGTGGAGCCCTATCCCTCGACTTCAGGAAAAAAAAAAATTAACCTTTAAATGGCAATGCTGTGTGACATTACCATTGCTGATATTCTCTGCCAACCTCACCTAAATTATCCGCCTGCTCTACCCACTAAAATGATATGTGGTTGCCGACTATCGTCTCCCTGATTCCATGTTGACATACTGTTAATGCAGTATTTAGAGTTGGGTGCATCAGGAAAACAGCTGGTGGCAGTAATTCCCAGCTTGCTGCCATTAAACAATGCAGAAGAAGGAGGTGCAATGAGATGTTGTAATTAAAAGGAAGCCATGTGGAGAACATGGTGAAAACGGTTTATTCAGTTAATCTATTATTGCATGTGTATGTTATTTATACATTTATTTTTGTTTTAATCATAATAAAAAAATGTATGTGCTCTGTAAATAAATTCGACTTTCCCCGACTATTTGTTTTGTGTTCACACCTATAATGTTTTCATCTGCAGCCATTTGTCATCTCCTCAGTGGAGCGAAAACTTGAGGGACAAACAAGTCACATGCTTCATGTACCTCATGATTTATTTGTCATTGCAGTTTGTCACATTTTGTTTGTATCAGTACACCAACTTCTCCACCTAAACCAAACATAAAAACTGCTGGAGATGCTTTGGGTTTTGGTGAGATTGTGTAATATTGTTGCAGGGATTGGAGCTACTGTGACCGCACCTTAACGCAGCCATGACCTCTCACCTGGAAACAGGCGAGGTGGAAGCAGAGACTAAGGGTCTCTATGACCATGGCTGCCCCACTACCCAGGACACGCTCACACACACAGCAAGTCCTCCTGCCACTGACCATCCTGGGGCAGCACATGTTAACAGTGTGAGGCCACAATGAATGAGAAGACACAGAAAATAACACACAACAACACACATAAGAGAAACAGGCTCTACGTTTGTATGATTAAGTACCTGCCAGGATGAGAGGAGTCAAATGTATTTCTCTGGGATAACAGTGCTCCAGTGCTGTAGCGGGAAGAGGCGTTCCTACTTGGAGCGCAGTAACCTGCCGCAGCTGAGTGTGGACGAGGGTAGCTGAACGTAGTGGCCGAGAGCGGGGACTGACGCACAATGTCCAGGTTGTCCAGAGACTCATACCTGGAGTGAAGAAAACATTAGTGAGAGGATAAAAAGAAAAGACAGGGCAAATGGGAGTCCCACTCGGTCCACATACACTCACCTCTTCATGGGAACCCCAACATAGATCGGTTCTTTGTAAAAGCTGCTGCTGCGCTGACGTATCCAGCTGTTGTCGGTCAGAAGCTGAGTCCTTTTCTTCATCTCCTCCAGAATCTGCTGCCTGTCTATCTCAGCCTTAGATGTGGACTGTCCTAGTCTTTTTTTCTCATCACCTGGACCAATCAAAGTTTGGGGAGTTTTAGCCCATTGCATCACCAAAACAGAGGGGAAAATTATGACAGTGCAGGCCGACTAACCTTGTGCCTGTTGGTGGGGGCCAGCTAATGCTGGGGTAGATAAGGACTTTGCCCTGTGGGTAAAAACAGACAGTCCACAATATTCTACAAACAATACATATCTAAAATAATGATTTTTAAATGTATTCATTATTTTCCCCCAGAAAAATAAGGGATCTATGGTCTACACCAAACTGGTTACATGCTGATTTTGGCTTTAAGGTGGGTTATCCTTTCACAAAAGGTAAAGGTAGGTTTAAAACAGCCAGTCATGTTGCATCATATTATTTGTTTTAGAACAAATAATACGGTGATATGTTTGCAAACATAGTGCACCACCACCTTCATGCCCAAAGCTAATATTAAAAGGTCCTGTATATGAAATTCAGAGCATCAATACAGCAGCAAACCATTATTTGCTACGTAAAGATATGGTGAAGTGATGGCGTCCTGAGCAGTGAATAAAGCCACGCTCCTTCTCTGTGTGTGTGTGTGTGTGTGTGCTGAAACCAGAGCTTCTCTGTTGTTCGTTGTGGCAGACAGCCTGCATGTGTGTGCATGTAAGTGCATGTGTGTATTTCATGGTCTAGCTCATCGCCACAGCTTTGCACTGCACTAAAACTGTGTTTACAACCGATATCAGGATGCTGTTGTCGTGGAAACTTATAGCCCATCCACTGGTTCACCCCCCATTAACACTGTTAGCTCACTGGAATTAGCACCGTTAGCCTCTAGCAGCCAGTTCAGCCAGCTCCATGTTGAGAACCATATGTAGACAACTCGTACGCTCTGAATTTCACATAGAGCATCTTTGCATCTATGATACCGTTTCTACTCCCAAGTCATTGTAACCTAATCTCGTTCTGACCTGTGTGCAGGAGACAGCTGAGCAAAGCCACGGGAGTCTTCAGCCCTGATGTACAGTGTGAAAAGCATTAAGGCCCAGCGCAAGCAGAAGGAAGCCCGGCAGATTCGGCAACAACAGCAATGTAGAAGAGATCATGACAAGTCAAAGGAAAAAAAACAAATCACGTTAAAAAGTTGCTAAACTAAAATTTCTCAAACCAAACCATGATTGCACATACATAAAACATTGTTACCTCTCAGTGAGGATGGAAAAGAGCTGACAATGTTGGTGATATTTAAACAAGGAGAGAAAAAGTTTATGTACCAGGCGTGCTCGGTAATCTTGTCATGGTGCTCTCCTTGTGCTTTACTTTGAGGTTTTGATCCCGTCACTTTCAGCTCATCTCTGTCGGGGCTCCGCTCTTCTTCTCTGCTTTTGTTTGTCAACCCATTCACGTGTGGCTGGGCGCTGGCAGGTCTCTCACCTCCATTGGTCATCTCAAATGTGTTCTGCTTTAAATGCATAGAAAAAGAAAATGGCATGTAATAGAAACGATGCAAAGCACTGAAATTTGAAGGAGCGCTTCATCCCGCAAATGTCAATTACTCACCCTGTGTTACACGGAATTCAGGAAGAAAACACTGTTTTTCTCACATGCTTCCACGGTGAACAAAGAATCAAAAAACAAAACATTCTTGATGAACTGAAGTCATAGGGGATCACATTTAACAACAGTAAACTATATTAAAATGTGTAAAACTCATGCAGTATAATCCAAGTCTCATCTATCCAGTTGTATGCTCACTACTTCACTTAATGTTTAAAACATTTCCGCATAAACAGTCTCACACAAGGATGACTAGTACACCTGCGTTACTTATGTGGAAGCGTTTTAAATATTACTGTTTTAAAAAAGATGCATTTCTTTGGGAAGCACTGAGCATTCAACTGGATATATGAGACTTCGATTATACTGCAACAATTGTGCGAGAGTTTGTAAACAGATGTTTGATATAGTTTTGCTGTTTCATCAAGAACTTCCTCTGTTTTTGGATTTATTGTTCCCTGTGGAGGCATGTGAGATTAATGCTTTCAACCCAAATTCAATCTAACATGGAGTAATTCATATACAAATGATAATTTGGCGGGTTGAAGTGTTCTTTTAACATTGGCTAGGGACCCTCAAATTAATTATGCGATTCCTAAAACTGCACTGAAAAGGAGAGGCCAGGAATTGTGCATCTTATTAGCACTGCAAGTGAGGGTAGCAGGTTGTACTGATTGCTGTCAGCACAGCATTCGCAAATGTGTCACAGCTGCTGATTAAAAACACCATCTTGCACTTTAACCAGTCTAATATTACCACAAAGTTGAGGAAAGCGTGAATTCATAGGATCCTGATTAGAATATGGTTACGTTCTGTGGGTAAAGACAGGGGCCATCGTTTTAATGCACTTTAATGTACTTGATGTAAACTGACTTTATAGAGGAAAATCTGACATAGGTTTTAAAATAATTAAAAATGGGTTCTGCAGTTTGGAAAAGGCTCAGAGACCCACACAACATTACCCCTGGCTTCCTGTATAGCTCCCCCTTTACTTCTTGTTGTGCCCTCCGCCATTCTGATTCAAGCCTCTCCTGATCCCGCTTGTATTGCTCCTAAAAAAAGCAAAAACACAAGCACACACATTTGTATGTTGCTTTAAACTTAAGATGCAGATTAGGTGCATGAAGGAGTGTGCTGTGTAGTTCTGAGTTGGAGAGAGGAATCTCCACCTGTAGGAGGCGCTCCTGCTCTTCCTGCCACTTCTCCTGACGCCTTCGATCCTCCTCGCGGTCCCACGACCAGCTGGATGAGGAGGGGTTGAGGGATGGCACCTGGAGCTGGCGATGCACAAACAGACTGTGGGCTCAAACATGATCACAGTGCCGTGCACAAACTCTTTCAACACGCACACGCATAAGTTATGTTTGAACATGCATACAAACATCCTTTGATCATGTGGTGTGGTGACTTACATCAGATATTGCAGATTCTGAGCCTCCTGTGTGAGAAAACAACAGGTCAGCAGAGAGAATACGATACAGTGGCTCCTAAAGATGATCAAACTGCATGTAAAACTGTATAGGACACACACACACACATACACACACCACACAAAGGCTGGGGACACATTAAGAGAAAATCACACAATGGATTATCTGTTCATGCTTCCTGTGTTTTGAGCGTCTTCATCTGGTTTCACACTTAAAACTATACACTTTACTTTGTGTATCCTGCTGACCTCTAACAAATGTTTTGCAGCTTCTTCCTACGTACATTATCAACATAAACTGTACAGTTTGCATCGACTACAGAGCCGTAGGTTAGCAGGCCACTTTATAGCAAACAAGAGTTATAGGGCAACTTATGTATTTTATGACCCTGGACCCTGTTTTCTCATTGTGTCAAAGCAATAATGGGAACAACAACATTTGAAATTGGTTCAGAATTGAGCATGAGGGCAGCAGCAGCGAAACAGATTGCAATGTTACCACTTAAAGTGTGTGCGTTTGCTACTGACAGGCTCCTATTGCTATCATGGGTGACTGACAACATTTTGGAAAGGATCCCAGATAGTCCATTTTGGTAAAGAGTAAATTCCTTTTTGTTTAACCAGGAACAGCCCTGAAATCGCCATCCCCAAACCCACAAGACTCCATTTAAATAAACAGTAATTTTATTATCGTACAAAACACTTCATTCAAAGTCAACAAAAACAAAACAGAACCCAAAAGCATTGTCTTAGTTTGTCTTTTCATTGTTCTAACAGTCATTAACTCTGATTTGGTTGAAATAAACCCTTAATTCACCCAATTAGATGCAAAAATATGCTGACTCTATACATGCTAAATTACTGTTTATTTGAATGGAGTTTGGTGGGTTTGATGATAGTGATTTTGGGGCTGTTTCTGGTTAAGCAAAAATGATCCTACTCTAACAAAAAAGTCTATCTGTGTTGGGATGCTTTCCATAAAAGGTGTCAGACACTTGTAATAATCTGGGAACTTTCAGTGATGTGTATTGAGGGTGCATACATCCTAAGTGGTTACATTGCAGCCTGTTTTGTGGCTGCCAGCTGCAGCCCTCTCACTAAATATTGTTCCCATTAGTCACTAAGACACAAAAACTTAAAAAAAAGGGGTCCAGGCTGAAAAATACCAAAGTTACTCTTCAAGTATACAGCCCTGCAAGAGGCCTCAGTGGCTTCAAAATATGTTCACTGACCACTAAAACACAGCTGTGTAGGACAAAATGAAGGCAATCATAATTTTGGTCTTTGTAAAGCTTTACCTGCAGTACTTGCACAAATATTTGGTCATAACTATCAAATGTCAGATGGTTCACATGTGCTGTAAGAGGTCTACAGATCTTAACTACACTCATCTTTTTATAGAAAATACCTGATCAAAAAGTCTAGAAGTAAATCCGCACACTACTCTTCTAACGTATCCCCAGCCTAAAGGTACCGTGCACACTGAAGAGGAAACAGTTGAGCGTTGAGAGTTAAGCTTGCTGTAGTAAATAAACAAAGGGTATTCACACACTGCATGACAACACAAGTCTGCTGTGTTCATTTGTTGGTACTGCTCCACAACAGCTAGCATGTTGCTCAGAGTACAGTTTGAAGAAAAAACACCCCACACAGTGCAAACATTTACCACACAAGTAAACCCAGGAGCTGAATCCTGCAGAGCCTGGAGAGAGAAGCCGTTGAAGCAGGACACACGTCAGATTAACAACCACAGAGGACAGCATTATAAAGCAGTCCATGTGCAAAAGAATGGAAAAAGTTGCTAATTAAAAACTACAAGCCATTAAAATAAGAAAATCAATAAAATAAACATCTGCCGCACACTACATCTGGTATGTTATACACATGATCAGTGCCGTCAGCTCTGTGGTTGCTAGGTAAAGCTGAGCCAAGATAAGCAATGTTTTTGTCCCAGTTTGCAAAAACAAAAAGCTTTTTGATTCAGAAATATGGTGATCATTAACGTCTGGAAACGCTACATCTTCACTAGTTTGAAGTTAGGCTGCTTTGATTAAAATGATATAATGGTGGTACACAAGTAAAGTTCTCGTCTAATCTCCATTAATCTTCAGATTCCTTTAATCAGCAGCCCTGCCTTTAAATCCTTAAAGGGACAGGCCACCCAAAATCAAAAATACATATTTTTTCCTCTTACCTGTAGGGCTATATATCAATCTGTATTGTTTTGGTGTGAGTTACAGAGTATTGGAGATATCGGCCGTAGAGATGTCTGCCTTCTCTCAAATATAATGGAACTAGATGGCACTCGGCTTGTGGTGCTCAAAGTGCCACAGAGCAGGGTTTCATGTAGGAACTATTTTTCTTCTACTCAACTATAACGGACAACTGTATCACTGTGCAAAAGCAAGCGTGCATCTACTGCTAGCTCACCAAGTATCACTGCGCTAACTAATATTACAGCTCAGCTGAGGAGGACTCCATTAATGTTTATTTAGCACTGTCATTAGCATGAGCCTCTCCTTCATGAGTAGATGCACACTTCCTCCTGTGTGGTGATTTGGTTGGTGGGTTTAGTTTCGGTAGAATGAAAATGGTTCCTACATGGAACTGCTCACAACAAGGTCTGTGGATTATCTTGAGTAACCGGGTCATGATTTCTGGAAAGAGACGTTGCTGTTGAGTTCTTGAGTTCATCTAGTTCCATCATATTTAAGAGAAGGCAGACATCTCTACAGCTGATATCTACAACACTCTGCAACTCACATCAAAACAATCTAGACTGACAAATAGCACTACAGGTAAGAGGGGGAAATATGCTTTTTTGATTTGGGGTGAACTATCCCTTAAACTTGGCTTTTAATGAATACCCAGCAATTAACCAAGCCAAGCACCAGCTGCCAAAGCTGCTAAAGAAGGCGTTTAAGCTCAAGTTGCAATTTTACCTTTCTCTTTGAAAAATTCAGCCCTCCTTTTCTGATTTTTCCTACTAATATTATCAAAATCTACATGGAGAGGAAGGACAGATAAGTTGAGAGATTGCTCATGTGCACACTGTATATCTGAAGAGTTATTCTTAAAAAAGGAGACAGTGCCATTACAGCCTTTATTCCTGCTATTACCTTTACTCTTGGCTGTCTTGTGGTTGTCACCGAGCTCTCCATGCATGACTTTGCCCTGTAAAACCTGGGCAGGTGAAAGAACACCAACATTCACCTGATAAGCACCACTTATTGAGCTGCATTATCAGAGGCTTTGTGCATCCATCTTTTGAATTTTGGCTAAAACATTGCTCACATTGTCTGTCTGCCCATTGAATTTGGACACTGTCCTGACTGCGGTTTCTGCAGAGGCACCACTGTTGGCTTGGTGATCAGGGCAGCCCATCAGAACGGGCGCTGCGGTAGTCAGATTGAGGGTCACTCTGCTCTGGCCCTGCTGCTTGTGATGACTCCCCTCACTGGTGCTCCAATCTAATGAAAACAACCAGCCATCAAAGCTACACTGCAGACCAAGATTTGTGACCTCTGGTTGGAAGTCAGAGGTCAAATTAGCACAAATAATTAAAGTGGTAAAAGACGAGGCTGCCTTTTTTTGGCTCATTATCTCACCCTTGTTGCCATAGCGCCGAATGTCCATGGTCAGACTGCCGGTCTGCAGGGAAGATGTCATTTGATCCTTCCACTGGTTGTATTTCATGTGTGCCACCGAAACTCCATTAACAGCCACAATCTCATCATCCACACACAGCTGGCAAAGCTCCGCTGGACTGCCTGAGGAGGGAGGGACAGGTGTCAGGGAAATGAAGAAATATGAGGACACCAAAACATAAAAAAAGGTGCCAGCTTCAGAAATTATTTGTTTATCACAAACTGAGCTGCAGTACTGAGGGCAAGGTTTCTGTTCCAAGTTGAAAAGTAGGCCAGTAAGCCAAAACTACATAGCAGCGAGTAAGTGACACCTCTCTCACTTCTAATCAAATATGCATGGTTGAGTTTAAAAGGTCCTGTGTGTAGGATTTAGGAGGATATATTGACAGAAATGGAATATAACATAATAACTATGTTTTCTTTAGTGTGTAATCACCTGAGAATAAGAATTGCTGCATATTCGTAACCTTTGAATGAGCCATTTATGTCTCCACAGGGAGCGGGTCCTTGTCCACTGAGTCCACCATGTTGCACAGCCATGTTTCTACAGTAGCCCAGAACAGACATCCTAAACAAAAAACTGAATTCTAACATGAAACTGCTTTATTTGTTTTTTTACTGGTTTAAATTACTGGGTCCGTTTGTTTCGGAGAGGAGGGTACCTCTGTGGATAATTTGGATCCTGGTAAAAACCCTCTGAACGTTTTTCATCGGAAAAGAACAGTAAGGAGGCATTAGTAGGGTTGGAGAAGCACAGATTTCTAACATTAAACTGCTTTATTCAGTCTTTCCAACAGTTTTAATCATCTGATCGGTTTGTTTTGGAGGCTATTTCTGCTGATAATTTGGCTCCCGGAAAAAAAAACAAACTCCTGAACAATGAGCACTATAGCTCCATTTCCACCAAGCAGTCCGGTACGGTTAAGTTTAGTTCGGTATGCATTTTTTCAGTTTCCACTGTGATAAGTTGTGAGTAGTACAAAAGTAACCGTTCCATACCATCCCCATTTTTGGTCACCCCTCTGTTGAGGTGAACACTGCAGTCCGCTGATTGGTCTGTGGCGGACGGTCACTCTGCTCAGAGCAGAGTTGTGGCTTGTTGTGCAACCACTATTCATACCATGGCAAGTTTTACATTAGTAAACTATAACTATAAAAATAAAGAATGTTTTGCTCTCCCTTGCAGCAGCTGTAGTCTGAGAAAAAAAATAAATCACTGGGACGACTGCCGGTGACTTTTAAGGTGGATCTTTACTTGTAATGTTACTCAGTGTATGAGTTGACAACAAAATTTCAATATGACAACTGAGCTTTTATTGTCTCTCTTGGATGACACAGACTTTCAGTGATGAGTGGATCTTCAAGCGTTTAAAAATATATATTAATTTGGACCGGATTATGTGAACTGCGTATATTCTAATTCTCACTTGGCGGCTGCACTTGCCTGAGAAGGACTGAATGCACAAACCCTCTATTTTTAAATATCCCATGGAGAGAGACTCTCACTGCAGCCTGTTCTATTTTGTTCTGAAAATGTCGGCGTTCATTCGTTCTGTGGACGATAAGAGAGGTGCAGGCTTCCATCTGTGTCACTGATATTGAGGAAATACAGTGAGAGCTGGACGGAGCAGTGAGTGACAACAACCCTGCCCACATTTAAGAGTACTGTTTGCAGTGGAAACACTATACAGACCTAGGGTCTAGGTACCATGTCTGAAGGGTTACTGTTGGTTCCGAAGGTACTGTATACCGAAAGTATTTCATGGAAACAGGACTTTAAAGAAACCTGGGATCCACGCTTGGCACATGGGAGACGTTTCATCTATTTGTAATCTGCAATCAACACCACTAGATGGCACTAAACCCAACACACTGCTCCTTTAAATCACTGGCAACATTTTGTGTTTTGTTGCTGAATGCATTTAAAATAAATGCATGCAAAATAAATATTAACACCACAATTTGTGCATGCTGTTGTGTTAATTTGTTTGGGTATTAAAAATCTATAAATACATCTGTCTTTTCTACCACTGACAAAAGGTTTTGCCCTTTTCCAGCCACATGAGAAGCTGCTTTGTCTTGGCTCTTAATCTCCTTCAGTAACATCATTTTTGTGTTTCGATGGTGACAATTTGTCTACGCTCCGTCTGCCCTGAGACCTGTCAGTATCTTGAATTACTGCTCTTTTTATAAGAGCAGGATGCAAGAACAGATTCCCTCTTGGAGGAGCACAAAAAAATAAAATAACAAAAAAAGCACTGAGAGCACAATGTAGCCCTGTCACCAAAATGTTTCACAATACAAGGCTCAAGGCACAGACTCTTGACACTGTCAGCTTAACCATAAATGTGAAGTCAGCGAGCCAAAATTTCAGTAATCCAAAGATAAATACAGCAAAAGTCTTACCAGGTTGAATGTACTTGACTCTTGCCCTGGTGGAGTCCCAGTGAGTCTGGAAACCAAAGTCTGGTCTGCTGTTGGGTTTTAGAGACAGGCTCACTCTCATGTCACTGTGATCCACCTGAAACACACACAAACGTAAAGGTGACACCCTGTGATCCAATGTCCCGCACTTCCTGGTGGAAATTAGATACCTCAGAGGTCTGCTGTACAGATATAGTGGGTGATACACACCGAGGAAGCAGTTCATTACGCACAGTGCAGTGCTATCACCGCAGCAGCCCAATGCCATCTTTGTGAAGTTCATAATGCTCAGGATTTGTTTTGTTGTCAGAGATGCTGATGCAGTACTGCATTAACATTTGTGCATTTGGTGGTTCAGCATTAAACTGAAAGGTGTTTCTTCAACCTTCATTTACTCCAGTAAGTAGTGTTAATATTACAAAACACCTCATACATAGCATCAAAAACTGAACATTATGAGCTTCAGAAAGATAAGCTGGTGACTCAGCGTATATGCACACATTAGGCATTTTAGGGCTAATACGGTTTAAAGGCCCTGCACACCCACACAGGTGTTTTCACTTACTCTGCTGATTAGAGGCTGATTCACCTGCGTGGGCGAAGGAAGACCCTGGAAGAATATTAACTATGGCTTTATTTACCACATTATTTTCCAAATTTGACTTGCTACTCTAAAATATTAATGTTACAGTGTATGCTACTTATAAATAGCTTTTATTAATTAGAGCATGCATTTTGTGGACGCTCTGGCTTAAAGTCTGCCCTCTGCACTTTATACTGCTGCGACTGTGTGCGGCTATTGATGCACCATAATGCACTTTAACATACTGCTTGTTTTTTTTTTAAACAATGTGTTGTATTTATTATGGGCTTTAGGTTATCTAATTATCAGTCATTCATTAACGGTCTTTCTTAAATGTTATTTTTTCTGTTCCCTGCTGGACCTGGGTGACAAAGTTCCCTTGTGTTTTCAACATGTTCGAATGACAGTGAACTCAACCTTGAACTTTTGATCTTTTGATCCTTGAACTACTGATCGATGTCTATCAATGCTCCAAGTAAAAATGTCTTATGCAGGGTTCCAACAGATTAAGGCAAGTTAGATTTGAGTTGTTTTAATGCCACTTGGAATTAAATCTTAGACCAATTTTACAATTAGAAAAACTAAGGGAAAAAAACATGAACCAACATCAATAACGTAAGGTTAAGGGCCATTTTGCCCAAATGTCTGTCTGTTTGTAACATAAAATATGACCTTTTGGGGTTGGGTTAAAAAGTTAGATCTACTTCAAATGCTAAAAAATGTTAAGCTTTCTAGAGTGAAAGAGAGGGAAAAACGAGCACATAACATCTCACATCTCACAAAGTACACATTTTCTGACAAACCATTTACACATCTTCTGGATATGTCCCACTGTGGCTCCATTTTGGAGAAGCGCCCACAGTGTCCTGGAAGCAGTTTTGAAAGATGAAAATCTGTTTCAATGTTAAAGCCATGCTCCTTGGCGATCTAGAAGAGCTTCACTGTGCAAAGCGAGAAAAATACTTGTTGAGCGTGTTGTTAGTGGCATGTAAAAATGGCTTAAGAAAGACATGCCAACCACAAATGAGCGGCTCAAATTACTGTATAATATCTACACAGTGGAGAGAATTACATTTAACATTTAAACTACACATCCAAATTCATATTTTCAATGAAAATTGGCTTTCCCACATGTCAACTATAAGGCCTGCTAAAAGTAAACAAAAAAGGTTTGTAGTAAAGGTATGAGTTTCTCTATTCTGATCTAAATTAAATTATTTAAAGAGTAGAGATTACCAATTATTTTCAGATTTTACAATGCAACGGCAGGAAAAAAAGCTATTTTTCCTCAGTTGCTCTTCCTGAGGTTTCTACCTTTTTTCCCCCCGTTAAAGGATTTTTTTGGGGGTGTTTTCTTTATCCGCTATGAGGGTCCAAGGACAGAGGGATCCCGTTTGCCGTAAAACCCTCTGAGGCAAAGTGTGATTTGTGATATTGGGCTTTATAAATAAAATTGAATTGAACTGAATGTATTTTAGCATTTAAGATTTTTTAAGGATCTGCAGGATCCCTGTTCTAACCACTTTGGCGAATGGATGAAAAAATAATCACTTTTATGTGTTTCTCTAATCTAACTTTGGCTCGTCAGTTTTTCTATTGATCATAGTACACTGTCACTGACCGATAAGTAAAATTGATTAGATAATCCCTGATTATAAAACAGTACTGTGCGATCAAACATCACCAAATCCTAGATACAAACATTACAAGTCGCATCAGTACGGACGCTGCGTGCTGAAAAACAATCCAACATACCTTCAGGAGGTCAACGCTTGCCTTAGATGGCAGGGTCGAGCTTTTGTTGTAGTGGGTCTGCTGGTTGGAATAAGGCTGCGGTAGCAGCTGGTTTTGGGTGTAGGGCTGATGGTGGTAGCCATTGGTTTGGAAGGAGATCTGGCTGGAGAGGGTGGCAGCTTTCACCTCCTCTCCCTGCTCTGTGCCATTCTGCTTCACCTGGTGAGCTTGCCTGTGTGTGAGTGAAGCCTGGTGTGGAGTTTCCAGATGGGCGGTCGCAGTCTGTCTCTTGAGGGAAGATTTGGTGGCTGGAGAGAGAGATTCCTCTTTCTCATTTTTCAGCAGCACCCCCTGGTTGTTGTCGACCTGGAGATGAACAAAAACAAGATGTGCTCAGAGGGACAGCTACAGATTACTCTGATTGCGGCATTTACTCTGCAGCACTGACATGTGAGTGTGCTGATGTCAGACAGTCTACAATCAACAGACCTGTGTGGAAATAAGTGTGTGACCTCACAGTGAGTTAAAACTGTTCCCAATCAGTGCTTCTATTATTAATGATTAGGGCAAGAAAACAAAGGTAACACAAGCTCACTCACATATAGTACACACATGCCCCCTAACACACTAACACACAGACACACACAGACACACACAGACACACACAGACACAGACACACACACACAGGAAATGCTCCCATTACATTAACTGTCTTGAGCCTATTTGGCTGACTAAACAAGTCCCAGTGCACCCTCTTGAGCGCTAGCCTTCTATTAAGACAGAATTAGACCCGTCCAGACTGCAAAATAAAATCAGCAGGTGGTAGGTCCTTTACATACTAAAAGCTCCGACACACTAATTTCACATTTCGCTGAGAGAAACACAGACTTATCTGCTGTTTATCTCTGTCCCACCACCGTATCCATCACCATAATCACCAGCTTTTTGAGAGCATCTCGGTGTCAAAATTAGACACATTTCAGGGTGTAAAGCCTGAATGAATCATGGGGATGGGATTTTGAAAAGTGACAGTGTTGGTAAGAAAAATCCATTAGACAGAGTGTTGCAGGTTTATCTGAGGTCAACAGAGGGGGAGGATGGTTGTTAAAAAACAATGGTTAACAGGGCTGGTTAAATGTTTTATGTACGCCTACTTGTATGGCAAAAAGTTACCCCTGAAATGTTTAGTTTTTCAGGAAAACACAGCAATGTGATGCTGAAACAAAAACAAAGACCAACCTAGAGCTGCATCGTTTTCCAAGAACTAATAAAAACACATCAAATGGCCACACAGCTGCACCATGTGTCACGTTCCTTTGTTATGATGACCATGGGAGCTGTAGTTTATTTTGAGTCGGTCACACCTGGACTGTCCTGCTGACATAGATTCTTGCTAGTGCCTGAATGTGCACTAATTACTTAGCCTGACATCACTAGACCAAATTGTAAATGCAAATTACCGGTGGTCTGAAACCTCATTTCATTCACTTCAAGGGCCGTTATCAACGACCGTAGATCAATATGCTGCTGGACGCAATAAAGAATGAAAAACAATAACTGTCCAGCTTACTACTAATGGAAGTCCATGGTGTTGGTTGGCACTCTGAAAAGCATGTGAGGCACTCTGATTGTTAATTAAAAAGTCTTTTATTACCATAATTTATGGACTACCAATGCCTTTCAACTTAAGTCAGCACAGTGCAGCACTTCCTATTTTTTCTTCTGCCTCTGAATACAACTGGATAGACCTACATCCAATCAGTGCAATGAAACACATGACGCAGCGCTAAGCGACAGACAAATGAGATGAGCTGTGATGGTTAGAGCTGCCCCCTAACAGGAGACCTAAAGTTAGTCGACCAGAGAGGTCATTGGTCGGCAAGATTTCTTTGGTCACTTAGTGGCAGGAAAAAAAGAAACTCTATGAGGAGCTGCGCCTTGTCAAAATAAATCAAAACCTGTATGACTGGACCATGTGGGAATTTAATCTGAAAGGACAGACACAGGAAGTGGCCATGCTCAGCAGTCAGACAGGAGTCACATTACAAACCAATCACAGCTGACAGATATCTTTCCCTTCTTCCGTAAATATTCAGTCTGATAAATACTGAACAGTTGATCATGTTAGTGCAGGGCTACCCAGAGCTTTACATCTGTCCCACAGACGATAGGCCTACACACTTATAAACAGCTCCTGGAAGAAGATCAGCTCTGCACTCAGGATTTCAGGTAAATAGGCTGTGATACAGTGCTTGTTTAGGTTGCTTAGTAATCTCAAAAGTAACTTGCCACCACACTCTTGAAAGCTGTCACAAAAAAGGCAAAAAAAGAGTAGCGCCCAGCACCCGACCTCACGCATGCCAGGCAGGTCAAGAGGCAGCATGTGTACGGCCCCTAATTTCCAGGGATGGTACCTGCGGTTATTCCACAGGCTAGTTAATAACATGTCGGGCAGGAAATCCAAAGTGTGGGATCATTTTGAGAAGGTGAAGGACGAACCCAAGGTGATATGTAAACTCATCTTCATTGGTCGACTACAAACATGACGTATCATCTGAAACATGGAAGTAGCTACATGCCCATTAGCCACTTAGCACAATCATTACTGCTTCGCCGACAGCGTCATTAACAGGCGGCTCGCTCAGTGTGTGACGTGCACTTGTAGATAAAATATAGGCCTATATTAATGAAGGTTCATTAGTACAGTTTTGTATTTCTCTGCAATGTAGCACAGTGTTAACAATGTTACTGATACTATTCTTTCTCACACCTTCAACTCAAACCATTGTGTTGCCCCGCCCAAAATATATAATTAAATAATTAAATTAATATCGTAAAAATACGGGTGACTAGTTGACTCATGGCCCTAAATGATGACTATTGGTCAACTAGGAAAATTCTTAGTCGGGGGCAGCCCTAGTGATGGTGTAGCATCAAAATATCTTAAGGAGTGTTGCCATTTTTGCCATCAGAATTTGAAAATAGTACAAAATAGTACAAAATAGTACAAAAAGTTATACAGCTAGGTTTATGCTCACTATAATGTCCCCAACACAAGGGACAAAATGACGTCAAAATTAAGACCACTTAGTCTAACTCATCTACATTCAAAGAGCAACAGTGCTGTAATTGTGATACCCAATGAACTCACATTGCAAAGTCTCGGCAATGAGGACACCCTGGACTGTTTGGTCCCAAAGGGCCTGGCCGTGATTGCAGAGGAGAGACGAGACGAGCCCTCGGACCTCCGGTAACCACGAGGAAGGCTGGCTGAGCTGGACCACGACCCAGCTCTGGAGAGGAACTTATAAGAGCCTGCAACCTGCTGGCCTCTGCCTTGTTCCACAGCTGGTTCCCATGATGTCTTCTGGATCTCTTCCTGAGACTTGTGGCTCTGGTGGGACAAGTCCTCCTGAGGATCATCTCCTGGCAGACTAACAGCGTCAGCGCAGGATGGAAGTTCGTTGTGACTCCACATGGATCCAGGTGGATCCCTGGTGTTGGTTGACTTCGTGGTCACATTTGGCTTTAAAGTTGTGGTCAGGGTGGAGATTTGGTTTGTAAAAACATTTTCGGGCTTGACCAGTTCAAATGTTGGCTGGGGAGGAGCTGGGCTGCCCTGTGCTTTGACTTGAGTCTGGGAGCTGAAGGGGCAGTCCAGAGAAGGAGTGGTAACTCCTGCTCCATCTGTAGCCAAGGAGGCAAGGTGGGTCTCCTCTCCCAGGATGTTCCCATCAGAGGCAGGCATGGCTCCAACTGACGATCCCTGAGGATACGTAAGTCAACATTTTCACCACAATTATACAAGTTCAACACAACCAGGGATACTCGCTCAGATCAGGGAGGTAAGAGCAAAACTGTAAACATACCTGGGTGTGAGGTGAGCTGTGGGAGCTCAGTGGAGCCGTGGGGCTGAAAGGTGCCTCTGTGGCGTAGCTGCGGGCCAGCAGAGCCCGAGTATGTGGCCGGAGATCAGAGCTGGATGATTTTGTTGGGGGAGAGGTGGGGTAAGGACGAGGGGCGGGGTTATGTTTGCGTGGTGACTGCTGGTCTCTGGAGAATTGGTATGGAAGGAAAGAGGAGCAAAGGTAACAAAAGACGCAGAGGGGGGTCATATTACATGAGTTCACTGTGGCGTACTGAACAATTACCAGTCGAGGTCAGCAGCTTTTAAAACACACTTTAAATTAATTGTTGGTGGCAACAGAGTTTGGAGGTCAGAGATTTTCCATGACATCTGGATCAGGAGCGTACCTCTTTAGCAGTCCACCTTGTGATTCACTCTTAGTCACAGCCCCATTGGACATCTGGTTAATGACATGGTCTCTGTCTTGGGACTTCCTGCGGAGGTCAGACTTGGTGCTCCTGCGACGATTCTTCCACTTATTCAAGTCCTGAAACAAATTCACAACCCGATGATACCTTTGCTCATGTGCATAGAGCTACAACGTAATGTCATTATCAATATTTTAAAGCTCAAAACACATTTTGTTTCAGTTGATTATAGGAAACCATCTTCTTGTTGAGATCGAAAGTTTATTCTTGACAACTACAGTTCCTAAGAATTTAAATTTAAGGAATTCATTGGTATTACTGTAATCAGAGTGTTACAACTACTCACTACAAAGTATATTTGGTAGCGTTCTTGAGCTTATATCTTGATCATATCACACAATCATCCTTAACAGATGAGTTTGTTATAGTGATGTAGATGTTCAAATTAGAAACCTTCGAGAACACATTTTCAATTCTTAAATCAGCATGGAAGAGAAGTCCTTATAGGGGTTTATCGTTGGCAATTTTGGCCCTGCCAGGTCAAGCCATGCCTTGCAGATTTGCATTTCCTAGATCAGTGTAAACATGCCAACTGTGCCCGAGATGGACCATCTCCACAGGTGGGCAAAAAGCGCACCTGGCTGCCTCCAAGTGGGGAGCGTAGACATCTCGCCAACTAAGCCAACCCTTAATCCCTTTCATCACGTATTTCCCTATCAAACACACGTGTTGTGACACTTTACTCAGGCTATCAGCAGGAGAACAGAAAGAAAGAAGTTTTTTTTTCTTGGTTCTTCATAACTTCTAACTGAATCTGTTTTTTAAAGTTTCATTTCTCTTCTAAGACCCTGTTCGTACTTTAGATATCCACTTTATTTGATGTTTTTATGCTCAATTTCAGCTGTGTAGGAGTCGTATTAAATTACTGCTGATGAAAACCTCAACATTTCCTTATTTTGCTGCTTCACAATAAAAAATTCTAAATAACAAAAATACCAAGGGAATTTATTGTGAAGAATTTAGAGGAAATGAAATGTGTTTATCACCGAATTAACCAAACTTTGTTAACGGCTTTTCTTCAATGAAAACAAGTCTGCGAATACCGCAGGGAGGAAGAGTAAAAGCAGAAACAGCCACAGTGAGATGTGAGATGAAGAGCAGCAGACATCTCCGCAAACAGCTCACCTCCAACAGGTAGACTTCTTTCACCTGCCCTGCTGAGTGATGGAAAAACACTCACAGCAAAATAACAGGTGACCTTTACCCCTTTACATCAGACAAGCTGTCATCAGATAAAGACATAACTTCAAGTGGGTAGCCCTGCTTTAATGGAGACACAAATCCCTACCACACTGGGGTGACGCAGTCCGAGTGAAACCAAACCAGTAGATGTGTATGGCGAAGAAAACAACATAAAAGTCTGAACATCAGAAATTTGAACACCTACAATTCCAATGACAACCAGGCAAACTTCATCTGCTGAAGAGCATACTGCACTAACAGCTGCTCAACTGACCTCGTAGTGAGATTGTTTTGTCAACATCTTTTAATTGTAAGATTCTTCCAGACTTACATCGTGCCACTGAGCTTCACTGTCCTTGGCAGCAACGCTACACTTGCGTTTGTCTTCTTGATTCCACTCTCCTGCCATGCCAGCGTCCTGGTCCACATCATAAATGGTGCTCCCATCAGGAACTTTACGCACAGGGTAAACCATCGGGATGTCGCTGAGTGATTTGCTCCTGGTTCAGACAGACAAAGAGGCAGGATATGGAAATAAATGAATATACAGAGCAAAGATTGTGTTTAAAACACTGCAGCAGCGTCGGGTAGCATGATGAATAGTAGGTATTGCAATGCAGCGCACACAGACATGCCATTTAACACTGACAACTAGTTTCTGCTCAGCTCACACACACATCCAGAAAATACTGTACATCACAGGCCGGTACACCACAGGATTAACAGCTGCAGCACGACACATTCTGCATCCAAACAACACAATCCTTAGCAAAGTGTGAGCAGGAGAGCCGCATGCAAGTCAAGTAACGCAGCATTATAAATGGCAACAGATGCTGCTGTCTGGATAACACAACAGCCATGACTTGAAACAAGTAATAGCACTGCTGTGGGCAACAGAGGGTGTCAGACGTGACATTCAAATAACTTACAGCTGCATTTAGCAGGTGGTATATCAAAAACTGTGACATAATTTGATGGGAGGAACCGAGACTGTGATTACAAACAATCCTGTAGTTTGTCATAAATTCTACTGTCAAGTCTCCGCCTGGGAAATTAATAGTGGGAGGTATACCGAGTGCTTCATCTTTATGAATAGGCATATTATGTTTGCGGCGTAATTTTCTTTGTAGGTGAACTGAATACAAACAAAAGCACAGCCAGATGAAGCAGCAGCAAAGCAGTGATGATCGGAGCGGTCTCAGATAGCTTTGCCCAAAACTTCAGGACTCACCAAATCCAGCCAGGGTTGACCTGAACTGGTCTCTCACGTGTGACCTGGATTTGATTTGCTCTACAGAACCAAAGAAAAGACTGATAAATGCCATAATGCATCTACATATAAAAAGACACCTGGTGGACAAAAATAACTAACTGCATGGTAACAAATGATAAAGGCCAGTCATGACAAGAGGAAAAAACTAAACTAAAAAACACATTATTTAGAAAAGAGGCATTGTATAGCTCACTTAAAGACAAAAGAAGAGGCGATGTTATTTCACAGATACGACACATGTGGCTTTTGTGCCACAGCTGTAACACAAACCACTCACATAGAAGATTGTGACAGGAAGAATGCATTTAATGCACAATATTTTAGTCAGTTTATTGACCCATTTTTAGCCACACTAAACCCTTATCAACACAGAAAGTCAACTAGAAGACATTAGCAAAGCAAAAACAAAGTTTATTCATGTAGGACATTTCACACCAGGTGGAAGCACAATATGCTGCACAACACTGAGCTACCACAGAAGTTGCAGGCACATCACTATGTAAAGAGTGTATAGATAAACCATTAGACATATGTAAACACAATTAAAACAGACACAAATACGCAAAGTAAAACCATTTAAAAAGAAGGAATAAAAATTAATACATTAAAACCAGCAACCGACCAGTGAGAATGAAGATGTGGGTTAAAACCAACAAAAGAAGTAAAAATAAAACAGAATAATTAAGAGCGGTCAACCAGACTAATGAAAGGTGCACCTAAAAAGGAAAGTTTTGAGTTATTCTTAAAGGGAGATAGCACTGAAGCACACCTGACATGATTCGAGAGGTTATAATTTAAGGAGAATTTAATTTCAAAGCGATGTGTTTCTGCAACTGAGAAGAGCAAAGCTCAAATATAAATCAATTTTTAAAAAAAAAACAACAACACAAAAAGATATTTTTGGCAGATATGTAGATGAGGAAAGGTTGTGTTAGGGAAGTGCATATTTATTTTGTAACGCTAGGTGGTACTTGGACTGTAAATAAACTGGGTTTATTACTATTGGGTGGCAAAAAAACTGGGGAATTTGTTGAAATACTATATGAGTTAAAAGAAGAAATGTAAGAAAGGGGTAGGGACATAAGTTTTACTTCTATCTACTCCTTTTCAGACACTGTTATCTTTGTCTTGTTTGTTTTTTATTTTTGTTCGAAATAAATGCTTTCATTCATTAATTCTATTGGATGTTCCAGTGATTTGGGGCATAAAAGCTAAAAGCAGTTTTACCAATTTTCCCTGAGACCCGGGGAATAACCAGACAGCCAGTACCAGATCAACTGAGGGGTCTAGCTGGTTCATAGCTCACAACAGCTACGTTAGAGAAATACTGGGGTGCTGCACTGCGTGGGGGCCTCAAATTAAAGCATTAAAATTTTAAAATCCATTCTAAAACTCACTGTAAGCCAGTGTAACGACCTCAGCAAAGGTGTTATGTGGCAATATTTCCTTTTTCTAGTTGAAACTCCAGCAGCTGCGTTCAGGAGCAACTGCAGTCAATTGTGATTTCTTTTAAGATAATCCTGTTAAGTAGTTTATTCGACTGGAAATAAAATGCTCCAGTATCCTCCTGGGATAAAAAGCCTTACCTTCGCAATATTTCTTAAGTGATAGAATCCGTATATAACTTAGCTGTTAATGTAGCTCTAGAAAGTGAGGTCAGCGTCCAGGATGACACCATCCAGAGACACTTGTGACAATCTAAAAAAGATACTGTCTGTTAGCCTTTGCCCCAACAACCTGGATTTCCGGCTTGTAACAATTCAGCTGTAACAAAAAAAAAGAAAAAAAAAAGACTACACATCCAGTTATCAATAACCTTGATGCAGTCTGACAGTGTGTAATAATGGCTTACATCATCAGGGGAAAGGGGAATAGACAGCTGTGTGTCATCAGGTAGCACACATTGTGTTTCAACAAGCACAAACTCAACAACGATTGGCCTAAAATTAGTGCTGGCACAAAAGGTGCTAGAAATAGCATGATTCCATTATGGCTATCAAGGTATGACACGACATATGACTCATCTGTTGAACTACTGTGAACTACTGAGTCACTCAGCGCGATGCTGTTAGAAAGTCATCACGCCGTCAGCACTATAAAAAAGGTGCCAGAGTACATGTCCCACAATACAACGTGCAGTATTTAGGACAACATTAATCAGTAACAGTACGAATTCAAAGCACATTTAGTTTAACTGATGACCTCATAAAACATTTGATAAACAGGACAAAATTTGCCTATCAATGTTAAGTAGTTTGCGGACAGATTAGAGATTTGCAAATGCAAAAATAAGTGCTCTTTGCCACTGTGGGACACAAACGAGGTAACAAGTAGGGTAGTGTGTTAGAGCTTGTGCGAACAGTCTGTACAGTGTGTTAGGGACTGTGTGTGTGTGTGTGTGTGTTAGGTGTGGATCTTTAGGACAGGAGTGACTGTTCAGGCTTGGGAGAGAGTTTTTCAGAGAGATGGTTTTGAGGCTGTCCAGGCGTAGCAGAGATGCCTTGTACTGCATCAGATGTCACAAGCCAGGAAATGAAGTCAAACACTTCCTCGGGAGAATCTGAACCTTTATGGCTACAGTGAAAGAAAATAAACAGAAAATGCATGAAATAAGTACAATACTATTAACTGCAGGCTTAAAAAAAAATAACACAGGAAGTCTTCTAAAGGATAAAAACATAGGATAAACATTTGCAAGAGGTTGGGTTTGGTAGTTTTAGCTTATGTCATCTTTCTTGCGAAGTAGCGCTGGCTATTTTTCGGTGCCAAGTAAACTCGGATGTAGGCCCAATCCCAAAACACCCCTTGCCCCTACCACTTAGGCCCAATCTGGAAATCCATCAGTAAAAAAAAAAAAAAATCTTCCTTTACCTCTGGAGGCACAGCCCGGAGTTTTTCGACTAATGGAAGTGCAGGGGCCTCACGCCCTTCACTTTCGGTGGTGCCCCCAGGGAATCGCAGTGTTGTTTACAAATACTTCGGGTAGAAAACCAGCAGAGTTTAGCTATTTATCACATTTTTCACGTCACTATATCGCCGTGTAGACTAATCTGATGTTTGTAAAGTCTATAAACACAATGATTGAACAAACGTTACTATTTCTGCGTGCACGTTTTGTAATTAACATGGTTATCGTAGGTTAGCTGGGCTAACCATTAGCTGTTAATGTTAGCCGTTAGCGGTGTCTGTAATAACCATAGACTGTATGAAAATAAGGTAATAACTCAATAAATGGTCCGTGAATAAAATATTTTTTTCCAGCGGATATCTTAGTTACAACATGATTGAGCTAGCAAAGCAGTTTTGTGTTGCTATGCGTGGTATTTATTCAGTTATGGGAAATCACGATGTCTAGAAAGCATCAGTGGCTGCAGCTGACAGGGACAGTTAGCAAAGCTAACATCAGGACGTCATCTGTTAAAAGCCTCCCGTTGTCGGATACGACATGAAACTACTCCAGTTAGCTCAATCATGGTGTAACTCAGACATCCGCTGGAAAAAATATTTTTTTCACGTTGACGAGACGGCGTTTTGGGTGGAGCGGTCGCTATGGACGCGGAGATTGCTGTTTCTGTAGGTACACATTTCCTGGGGACACCTGCACGTCTTGGCCGCGCCCCTCCATTGTGATTGGCTAAAGCGCAGCATCGTTCAGACTCAAAGCCCCGCCCTTCCCCCCTCTCTAGTCGTCTTTCACACAGGGCTGCCGACAGATTCTACAATGTAAATTGCAGAATCTGTCTTGACAGATTCTTGTCTTAAAATTAACTAACCTGACTCCTACTATGCCAATGTCTCAGTTAGCTAACTAATAGGGATGAGCAACTGCACAATTATCTGTATCTGTGTCTGTACCTGTTTAAACTAAATACATTTTGTGTACATGTATCTGTACGTGGATTGGGCAGATTTTAGACCAGGACTGGGTGGAGTTTCAATTGGAAGCGGGTTGGGCCTAATCTGAGGTTATTTTAAGACTAAAATCTCTTACGACGTTGGACTAGAGAGCTCCACTGGTGGTGTGGTAATGAACCAGTGTTCTTTTATTTTTTCTGGATAACTTGTTTGATCGATTTATAGCGTGAAACTTAAGCTGTGAATGAATTGCGAGCATCCTGACAGCCACAAAAGGATGCCTATGAGCCCACGCAATTCAAATCATCACTGCAGAAAATGCCATATTTGCAATGTGCGCCAACACTATTCACGTCTGTTGAAGTGAACCCCAGCATACTGATGACATATCAGGTATTAACGGTAGTCCAATTTCATTTTAGAAACCACTACCCCTTGTAACTGTGTTCCTAGGGACAAGGTGGCACTCAAAAACGAGGGGTAGGGGTAAAAATATGAAATGGGATTGGGCCTCTGTATTATAGTGAAGTTAAGCTGGATTTAGATGTAGCAGAGAAAAAAATATCACCAGAAGATATTTAACCACATGCCATCATGTTACACAGCAGGTTATATTTGGACCACATACAAAAAGATACTCTATTAGTTCTACATTAGATTTTACCACAGTAGTTACAGTAAGTCAGGCTCCTGTGTGCACACAGAGCCATGCAATGTTTTTTTTTCCTTCTTTAAAGTTGCCAGGATTACTTGCTGCTCAAGCAATGCATCAACAACTTTGCACATTAAAGCTAACAGCAACAGCACAAAAATGCAGCTTCAGCTTTACCTTGCATTAGTTTTAAGTAAATCTTAAAGCTTTCACACTTGCACTATCAGCAATGCCTTGCATCATAGAGCAGTAAAAACAGCCAACAGACCTTAAGCCTTGCATTTTACGATACCAGGGCCTTCTCTGGGAGCCGAGGTAAATCGTACGCACACGGGTCTCCTCTTCAGGGGTCCAATATCGGGGTAAGAAGCGGTCATAGTCGGGGTTGTTAGATGTCTGATGAAGGGTCTGCTGCAAACGTCGGAAATACAAGTCATCTAGGACAGGGTCTGCGTCAGTGTAATCGTCCTCTGAGTCTTCCTCACACAGAGCTCTCAGGAAAAGCTCCTCATCGATGACACACTCGGGAGGACACACAGTGAGGTGGGGTTGAGGAGAGAAAGGGGCATCTTCAATGCTGCAGCAAAGAGCGGTATACCCACGTGGATGTTTATGATGATCACACAGACATCACTTTGGATAAAATAGTAACACAGAGTTTCACAGAAATGATCTCTGAGCTGCTCCAAAATGTTAAAAGGCAGAAGTGTGGCTGATGATTAATGCATGGAGGCAAAGTCACAGTTTTCTGTGGATAAGGTTAGGCTTACGCAACGTTTTTTAGTTTCAAAGCAGTGGAGTGGTGGGTAGTGTGGTTGAGTAATGACAGAGCCAAGCAGAGCACCGACAACACGCTGGCCTGCCACATCAAATAGTGCGTGTTGTCATCTACTTCTGAAAAAAAGTCTCTCTCTCTCTTTTTTTTTTAAAAAACAAGATTATTGTTTAAAAACAGATAACTACAGGTCCACACTCGGCCTGGGCGGTTTCACTCGTGACACACCAGTGTATTTAAAAATCTGATGCCATTTTTCACTATCAACTTCATTTATCCAAATTTGAGGTGTAGTGTGACATAAAACATGTTTTTTATAGTGCAGTCTGTGTCTCTGGGGTCTTCTTCAAAATCTGCTGTTCTTTGGCTAACTGCAGGAGTCAGCGACACTTTGAAGAACTACAAGCTGTTTTGGCTTGTATTTCTAGTCTCCACCTCTGAGTATCCAGGGGGCATGCTCTTGGTGCATTCAAAACAAAATCATCATTCTCGTCTGGCATTGCAAAATAGCTGCATGTTCACCAAAATGGCATCATTTATTACGAGTGCAAAGGATTACAGATTAAGATATTTTTTACAGTGTATTTAGTCAGCTTCTGTGTCAATGCAGCACACACTGAGAAATTTATTGTGTCTACTGACCGCATTTAGCATCAACAGTGATTGGATATCCAATTAAAATGTGGCAAATTTCTCCTTAAAACTTGGAGAGAGCTGCTGGTTAGAGGATGTATTGTAGTGCTCATCACATGCCACCAGAGGTCAGTCTCTACTGGAAGAAAGATGGCAACTGCGAGTGGTGGGGATGATGTTACACGACAATGAAACAAACGGCTAGCAATGGCATATATTTACATCTAACTCAAAGAAATTAAGGGTTTATTTCAACCAAACCAGAGTTGGTAATTGTCGGAACAGGTGTTGGGTAATAAATGCTAATACTGTCATATACCATATACCCCACTGAAATTTCAGGAAGGTATGAGGGTATTTAAAAATGAATAAGGGCCAAGACAAATACCTGCTTTTTTTTTTTTTTTTTAAAGATATTTTTTGGGGGATTTTGCCTTCAATCTATAGGACAGTCAAGCGTTAAAGGGGGAGAGAGAGAGAGAGAGAGAGGGAGTGAGTGAGTCGAACCCGGGCCACTGCAGCAACAGCCTTGTATATGGGGCACCTGCTCTACCACTAAGCCACCGACGCCCCTAATACCTGCTTTTAACTGTGCATTTTTGAATGAAGGTTGCCTTGCAAAACTTGTGTCCATTCAGAGGATTGGTTGCGCACGTGCTTACAAATTAACAACTCTGCAAGATGTAATACACTCATGAACAACAGGGGCAGTCTTGGCAGAACAAGAGAAACATACTCGCCATTGTCACGACGTGCTTGATACATAACATCTACAAAGGTGCCAGTGTCACTTCTGATATGAAATATGAGAATTATTACCATCTTGTGTGTGTTGTGTGAAAGTAACTATGAATGCATGCCTTTCTATATCACTGATTTGTGCTTAGAGTGAAGAAAAAAATCTAATATAAGAAACACCAAACTGTCTTGAGGAGATCAGTCCCTAATTCATTAACAAGCGTAAAAGTTGCAACAAATTATTTTTCAACAAAAACCATCCATGTTTTTCCTGATTATAGATATTATTGAACCCAGTTCTTATAGCATTTTTGCCACATACAACATCAGGAATAAAGCAGCTTAGCAAAAATATTGTGTGTTACTGTTAGACTCAGGAATGAAACAATATTTTCCCAGGTAGGTTCAAACTCAAACTTCACATAAAAGAAGGTCATAAAACAAACACAGAAAAGAAAATGTTGCACCAACACAAAAGAAAAATGATGAAATAAACTGCAGACAGTCCTTTTTGCAGCTGTGAATGAGTGAGTTAGTGGCAGTAAGTGAACTCTTTGTGTACAGCAGCTGATACATTCACAGTACCTGGAGAGCGGACTTGTGGAGCCCCTTACATTCGCCTCCCATCCTTGTTTTCCCCGGAGCAGTGGTGCCTGGATACAACCTTTGTTTTGCAGGGTGGAGGGCTGTGTGTTCTCCATCTTGAACACCTGCTCAGCTTCCGCGTCACTTCCACAACCTTGAGACCGCATAGACACGCGCAAAATGAGCAACAGAAAAGATTAAAGTTTGAAGATCAAGGAAACATAAGGTAAAATCAACTTAAAAGAAAACTGACTGAGCCAAGTACACATAAAAGACAGAGTCTAAATCTCAGAAGATAACAGAAGAGAACCTTTAGTGGGTGACCGAGTCTTCACACAGCCAAGTATTCTGCCCTCTCCCATCACACACACTTTTATCACCGCAGTGTGGAACTTGTCACAATCTGTCAGTGACGTGCACTGAGACCGAGCACGGCAGAGTACAGACAGAAGACACAATGCGTAAGGGGATCACAATGTTGTTGATCCAACTAAATTTGGTTGATCGAGCACAATAACATGTTTGCATGACGCATCATCAGTTTATTCTAATTCATAAGTTACATCTCAGTTCTGGCATGTTCGATTGCACACTGACGGTAATAAGCAAATCATCTCAGGAAAAAAAAGTTTGTGAGGACATGATGACCTCCAGTCTAGCAAAGGTTGCAACAGCAGTTTGTTCAGCACGGTTAGCTTACACAGAGAAAAGAGCTCTGACATCAGAATATGGATCATGCTGCATTAAAATAAAGGGGCCACTATTGGTCACAGTGTAGTAACTTTCTTTTACAGCAAACAAACGACAAAAAGAGATCACACTTTGGGTGGTGTGGCATGCACAAGTCATAAAACAGGATTGTATTGAGATGCACCAGTCAACATACCGTCACTGTTTGGGCGGAGGACTCGGGACTCTAGAGAGTCGGTGCCATCTGCAGAGTTCTCCGTCTTGTAGCTCGTCCTCTCTGGGTACCAGCCGTCTTTCACAAACACATTACTGCCCTCATCTAGAGCCTGGATTAAAAGGCAATGTTCATGTTAAATACAAACATAAATACATTACCTTCACAGTGTTAAAATCCTAGAAGAGTAGCTTACCTTGGACAAGGCCAACCCTAACAGCCCCTCAAAGGCTTTGAAGTTCAGCTGAGGGCCGCTGTAGAAAGCATCTAGGTTTGCCTTGCGACCCAGCCAGTAGATTGTGATGAGAACCTGAGAAAGAGCAGACAGAGTCACATATGGACAGTGACAAAGTACATTTACTTATGTGCTGTACTGTAGTACTGTAGTTTTTGAGTATCCTCCCTTACTTGGGTTTTTTTATTTTCGGAAATGTATTTCTTTGACAGCACTACATCTGAAAGACAAATATTTTACTTTCGACTCCACTACATGTCTTTGAAGGCTCTCGTAACTCATTACATTTGATTTTTTTTTAACTTCTCTCAAATGCAGAAGTCTATAAACTGCGATCATGCAGTTCATTAGGCAACTCATTGGTAGAGACAGGTAAAGAGGAGAGGTCATCAGCAGGCGGTTGTATTTGGTTATATGGTGTTACTATGGCTCTATCAGCAGACGGAGATGAAGATTCCCCACCAGATCACCCATGGCTATACCTCAAGTCTATGTTTAGAGTTTTGAAATGAACAATGATTGATTTAAATGTTTGCTCTCATTACCACACACAAACTCCAATCACAGCCTACAAGAATTTGTCATCCAACCTGTAAAGCATGCCGAGGTACGTACACTTGTTTAATTCTAGATGAATACATTAAACAAAGTTGTCTGTGTTTGTAGTAGTTGCAGGTTTTTCCGCCCCCACAGTAATTAGTATCTATTTCCTAAAATGGACAACCAGAACTACAGCAAGTACCCTCTGGTTGAAGGTGAGAGACAGTCAGCACATAGATTGTTGGGCACAGGGAAATGGAGATCTGTGTGTGGATCTCGGGGAGTACCACCAGTTGGTCCAGGAGCTTCGCCTCGATAATGGCTGTTTCCAGGCATATTTTAGGATGACTCGGGGGCAGTTCAACCTGCTGTCTATCGTCAAGACGTATAGCTCTGGGTATCCAGCAACCACTACCACCAGTTTCTCTTCCATTGTTTGCCAACTGTAAACTTGTTGTTGTGACCACTACAGAAGGCCCGCCTCTCAAATCATCCCATTGGACAATGGAAAAAAAAAAAAAAGCTGAGATGACGGTGGGCGCTTTCCTTGCTCTGAGTTGAAGTTTTTTCAACTTGAGTTCAGAGCGCTCCAGCAAAAACGCCAGGCACCTAGAGCGCCGAAATGCAAAAAAAAAAAAGGTGAGAAAAAAGCTTAATTCTCATTGAAGCAATTACAAAAACCACCCCCAGCTGCTAAAACTCTAAACGACTTATCTAACTAAAATAAAGGGGGAGTGAACAAGGTTAACCTAACTGGTAGCCTCTTCCTTACAACTACAACAATAATGGCCATCAGCATTGCAGGCAAGACCCTGATTTTCCAAAAGTCAAAGTCAAAAGCTGCCACTCTGTAGCGCCTCCCGTCTCATAGCCGGTTTGACAGATGCATGTCAATCTGTGCCTGACAACGTTATGTTTTCAGTTGAATCAGAGAAGAGGATAACTGCTGAGGGGTGCTACATTTCAGAAACTTGTTTTTAGAAACCAAAACATAAGAAAACAAAGATGCTGTTAAAAGGATAATACATACAGTATAACTGTATATGTACAGTAGTGTTAAATATAGATTTATCAATGCATATGAATTCTGAATATTTGAAACTGTTTCAATGTTCATTTTCTCCTGTATCGATACACTGATACCAGCTGTGCTCTTTGGCTCTCTGCTGTTCTCTGCTCTACCCAAGAAAGGTCAGTGTTGTCATGTTATAGCTTTGTTATATTCATCTTTTCATAAAGGAAAAAAAAAAATGTTCTCAATGTCATGTCTGTTTTTTTCTGTGGTATTAAAAATGCTATCGAATGCATATATTTTTCAAGGTATTGCATTAAATTTAGAAACTCCAGCGCTGTGACAACACTGACATACAATGTTTTAGGCTAAATGTTAATGCCAGCATGATAAAAACAACAATGCTAACATGATGATGTCAATCAGATTTCATGGTCACCATCTTATTTAAGTGTTAGCATGCCAATATTAGCTAATCAGCCCTAATGTTATTTCTTTTCCTGGTATTTGCAGATTTGGGCACATTACAGTTCTGACCTGAGGATGATGCTAGATGAGAAGGCATTGGATACTGCTAACATGGCTAAAAATTACATAAAACCAAGTCTGCCAAAATAAGACATCTAGAGCATTTGTTTTTCCTTTCTATAGCGCAGCATGATGCCCTTCATAAGACAGCTTTAAACACTCTCCATGGTGCCGAGCGCTGCTGATAGTGAGACACACACACACCTGACAGGCATTAGTAAAGACAGTGAGTAAAGGCCTGTGAAATATGGACCTCTCCCTGGCATTTAGTGTTTTATTATTTCAGCAAGCAACGCGTTCTGGACACGATTTATTCTTCATTTGCCTTGAGGCAAGGAATTTCTCTCTCTCTCTTTTTTTTTTTTTTGACAGACGGCCTTTCTCCCTGGCAGAGCAGCAGCCTGTGTTGCAAAGGGATTATCCACTAGACTACGTGTCAGAATTTCTATATCTGTATCTTAACAAAGTCATCACAGAGCAGTCAGCAGATAGGAATAAAAAAGTAGGACCTTGACAGTTATGAATAATTTAATAAATATTTTATGGCACAATGCTAGTTAGATGAAGAAGATGAGGACTTTGAGTGATAATAAATGCTTCTGCATGGATTCCCTATAATGCTTGATCAGTGTCTGTAGTGGCTTCCTTACTGGTCAACTGGAGACATTCACTGAATACAGACATTATATCGGAGTTCTAGAAATCATTGTAGTATCAATATAACTTTACAAAAGGGTTGCTTTCCACATTTTGCAGCACAAATGATGTACAGAGAGCCACTGTAATACGCAGGAGCATAAAAAAGGAAATGCTTTCAGCTATCAGAGCCAGTCTGAATCGTTTAAGCCAACGTTGTTTTCAGTTTTCCCTCATTTCTACAACCTGAGAGTCAACAAGCATTAAGTGCACGTGCAAGTCTTTAGCACATAGACAGGATGTGTTCATTATTCTCTTCTAGCCTGCCACCTACCTCATGCCAAGGAAATTATTACAGTGCACATAACAGCTCATCATGGCTTGATCCGTTTTAATGGTGATTTCAGCCACGTATGATTTTATTTATTGTAAATTATTCAAGAACCCTTAAATTACTCATCAAGTCCTGTCAACAATGGGCCTAATCCACATCAGTGCTGTGCGGCCAAATGAAGCCAATATAGTACTGCCAAAAAGTACAGTTCACTGAATGGTCATTTGAGTTCGGCTCCAAAACAGAAACCCTTTCTACACAGAGAGACGTGACAGGCGTGACATGCACCACAACAGTGTAAGCCTCTAGTGTGACATGTAACATATGCATTGACCGCGCTTAATAAACAATAAAAAAATGGTATAACATGGCAATAACAATCATTTATTAACTTTATTATATGGTAGCTGATCTTGTTCTCTGATCGGAAGGTAAGGAGCTCCCAATTCACAGACATTTTTGGCCGCTGTTCTTCTTTGAGTTAGCTGCTAACAGCTACTTTTTTAATCTCCCACAGTGGATTACACGCTTAACACGTCGTCACATCCATGCCACCCATGATGACGTCTTGCCAGCTTCCTGTTTAAAACAGACATCATTTCAGCACTGTTACTTCCTCCAATGCCAGCTTAAAGGCGAGGTGACTCTGTCCCCCCATTCTGCGATTGGACCTTTCATACAGAATGACGACGTGGAATGACTGTTAAATTCCCACCTTAACGAGGCAGTGTAAAAGAGTAAATGCCCATGGTACCAAATGTTAATATGCCCAACTTTACATTAGAAATTATACTTATGTTTACAGACTGGTACAATAAACGATTTTGGTCTCTATAGCTAACTTTAACATTCCTGACAACTGTACGCAGATTTAATTACCTCAACCGTTTCCATTTTAATGAGGCTTAAAGTTACGCAAAATTAAGGGCAGGGCTGCTTGAGTGCCAAGCTGTCTGCGAGGCATTGCTACAGTCTATGAGTCAGATCCACCCCTCACTCCTCCACAGCTCCAACCACTCATCCAAATATAGTCGCTGCTGGCTCCAAAACAAACCCCAAGATGGCGACGGCCAAACTCAAGGCTTCAAAATGGGAGTCCACAAAAGAAGGATTGATGTCACGGTGGCTATAGCCATCATTTTTACACTCTATGATTCTGGCAGACACTTTCACAGAACATGACTTATATTGGATTATCTTTAGAAACTGTAACAATAAAACAGGCTTATAAAACATCCCTCCAAATAAAGCAACCAATTCTCAGTTAATCTGAATGTTCAGGGTGCAACAGTTCATGTCAACATTATTCTGCATTGCATCACTGCTGTATGTAAAAACAGTGAGGCTCAGCATTAAAATTTACTGTACAAACAACCCGGCTTCAATTATTTGTCTATGTGCTCGGAAACCTGCATGGAAACTCTGGATTTCAATGGCCCCAAATTGACCCTAATTGGTTAATTCAAAGAAAAATGCTACACCCCTTTCAAAAGAAAGAGTGCTCTGACAAACAGCCTCATTACTGGGTCCGAGTTGTCGGCTATTGTGTGATTCAAATGAGGTTTCCCAGATAACCAAACAACCTCATAAGCTTTGGAAACATGTAAAATACCAGCAGTGCACACAAGCGTGCACACGTACAGCACTCACATGTTCCACACATACAAAACACACATGCTTGTTGCAGGAGAGACAAGACTACAGATACAGTTTAAAAGGCACGGTGATGAAACATAAGTCTACATTTTAGTGCAGACTATCTGGGTTTAATGCCAGGTTTTTGGAGATCAGCCTGAAACTTAATAAAACAAAACAACCCTCTTGATCGTCATCACCCTGATTCTTCATGCTGGCAGCATCAGGAGCTGGAACCTGTGTGCTTAAGCTACTGGTGTCTGGGTTGATAAACAGGATGTTGACTACTTACCATCTCGTTTATACCATAAACCTTCAATTTATAGCCCAGGCTATTATTTGCTTACATCACTGAACTCAACGGGCTGATATTTGGGACAGGCCTTCATTTTACACAGAACTTTTGCTCAGCAAACATGGGGTTTATTTAAACTTGGGGTGGGACTCACCAGAGGCTTATTATCACGATACAATATTATGGTGATTTTAAATATGTTGCAATATGCTGAGTATTGCAATAAAATATATTGTAATATATAGCAATTTATTACCTTTTTTCAGCTATAAATTATGTCCCCCAAGGTAAACTTTACAATCTGTTTTATCTAATAAGATAAAGTTTTCAGTCTGTTCCTCTCACCTCAGCTATTTTTTGCAGCAGCAAAATGTATCTAGTGAACTGAAAAAGCAAATTATTCTATTATTCTAGTAGGCTTCCTTAAGTTTAATTTACATTTTTAAAAATAATGATTTCTATAATAAAAAAAAAATCGATACTTGGCACTGTGTGACGATACAATATTGCCACACAAAAATAATATTGCCATACTATGCTGTATCGATTTTTCCCCCCCAACCCTAATTTAAACCAATATGAATATTACTTGTATAAAAATTAGGCTTCAGATAATATATCAATAACATATTAATAATGAATCATTCATTTATCTAGCTCCAAGAGACAGCGCATCAGAAACAGAGAGTTACAGCGCCTGAGGATTATTGTACTCGACATCCTGATTAAACTATACTCCCAACTTACATTATTTTTTACGAAAAACTCTTAATTCTTTTCATCTGAGGACCCTTATGGACTAAAGAAATATGAATAACTAAAAATTGGACACATAATTTTGACTTTATGACCCCTTCAGCAGTGGAGAGTTGTCTCTCTGAATCATTCTATATTGCTCATGGTTTCAGTAAAATGAACTGAATGATTAAATTATGGAGACTCTAACCAAGCTTGGTTGCCAAGATTGGTGACCACAGGCCAGTGGTTATCCATGACCAAACTATTGCCCAGGTTAATTCTTATAAATATCTCTGTGTCTTCATAGACAACACATTAACCTGGAGCACACATGTTGACTGCCTCTGCAGCAGCTTGCAACAAAGGTTGCACTTTTTGCGTCGCTTGAAAGCACATGGTGTTGATCTTAGAGAGCCTTATCAGATACAGCATGATGGCATGGTTTGGGAACCTTTCTGTACAGCTCAAAACCAAACTGATGCGTTTGATCCATACAGCATGGAAAATCATGGGTGTCAGAGAACACTCATCCATGCAGAGTATCTACGAACAGGCCTCCTTGCAACAAGCAAATAAGATTATCCATGATTCGTCTCATGTCCTACACAGAGAGTATGAGTTACTACCCCCTGGAAGAAGGTTCAGAGGTCCTCGCTGTAAACTTAATAGATTTAAAAATTCTTTTGTCCCGATGTCTATCAAGCTCTTAAATAGTAGCATGTAAAAACCATTGTTTTTGTTTTTGTTCTTTATTAGTGGCATTCAAGGCCGGGATGCTCTCAACTTTTGCACACTTCTGCACTTTAAAGGCTGCTGTTTCTAAATTGTCTGTATATATTTATACATTTTTTCTATCTTATTCCTTTGTGATCTCTTGTGATCACGCATGTGTGAGGCACTTTTTCTAGCTTCTGATTGTCTGTTGATGTCTGTTTGTATGTTCTTATGGAATTGAATGCTTTTTGTGGCTGCAGCATGGGTGAACGAGCCCAGGACAAATTTCTCACTTGTGGGACAATAAAGTTCATCTTATCTTATCTTATCTTATCTTAAGCTAACAATATGTAGCATCTCTATATTGACAATAGCTTAAACATTTATATTTGTATGTGTGATCTAAACAGGTAACTAATGTTAGCCCAAGTGGGTAGCCAAAAAGACGGTTTTATACATCCAAAGAACTTCTGTAAAACTGTAAAAATAAACTGCTTGGCAACCAGACCTGGCGTCGAATTGAGACAGGCCTTTATTTGCCAAAATATGTAGCCACACCAGGCTAGTAGAGGGGACTGGGCGTTTAATTAGGACAAGGCTTTTAGCTGAAGTTTTATGGTAGGTAAATTCAGTGGTAGTGTTATAAAAATGAAACAGCACAATTCTGGTTAAACTTACATTTTTGAGTCTTCTGTTGCTTTCATCTCGCCTGAAACGAAAGAAAAACAATGAAATAAATATCTATACAGAGGAGAGATGCTCCTAATGCTGCTCATATAGTTACATCACTTGTACTGTAAACAAGACAAGAGCTGCTAGGGGAAAAAAGAAAGTGACATCTCTTAAGCCTTCTCATTTGAATGCTCTACTAATAAAGTACTTATCGGAATTTAGACAGGCTATCATCTCTTATAAAGCAGCAGCTTGTCATCAGGCAAAGCTCATACCTTTAGGAATGCAAAGCAGCTGTGAGACTCAAACTGTAAACCTTTATCAGCACAGGTATTACTATAAAAATACCTCAGTGTTAAATGTGCTCAACACAGCTGATACAGCAAGCTTTAGAAATGAGCAGACACTGTCACATTACTCATGTTAGCTGACCTTCAGAAGCAAAAGTGTTCTCCTCTGTGCTGCCATGAGCTCATGCAGCTTTGGAAAGCTGTACACATACACTTAACCTGACATGACACTGCTTCAGTGAGACAACTGTACCTGAGATTTGCGCGAGTGGAAAGGTCCTGCAGGTCTCCGGGATGAAACAGCTGAGACACGTTCAGTCCCAGTTTCCCACAGGCTTTCAGGAATACATTCACATTATCCTGGAAAGCAAAATTACAGAGACAGCAAAATGAGAGCAGGTAGAAAACTGGTAGAGAGTCAGAGGAGGTTGTTGGTGTGGTTTAGCATCAAATCTGGCTGGCTAAATGCCACCATCAACCTCACATGGTTTTTTGGTTTCATTGGGTATCTAAAAGTAGCAGCAGCAAAACATTGCGGTGAGGTTAGAAGGGTTGGTTAAACAGTCTCTAATAAAAACACCACATTACAAAATAAGTTTACCTTTAAGAAACTTTAGGACACAGAAACACAGCATTACGCTCTTAGCCATTGTATTTAGCCCTCCAGATCATATGCTATTGCACTGGGACGCCTGAAAACACAGACAAAACCATGTCGGCTTGTAACGCTTGCAAGGCCGCAGGACGAGGAGTAGTTTGGTCCACGGAAGATACTGCACGTCTCCAGATGTGGAATGTAGAATACATCAAATGGCAACAGTCTACAGCACAGAAACATGAAGGGTTTCCTCCAATTTTAAGTTAATCTGAAAGTGAGGGGCTTCATATCCGCACTGCAGTGCCACGTCAAAGTAAAAAAATAAACTGCGTCAATATACAGTACAGGCCAAAAGTTTGGACACACCTTCTCATTCAATGCGTTTTCTTTATTTTCATGACTATTTACATTGTAGATTCTCACTGAAGGCATCAAAACTATGAATGAACACATGTGGAGTTATGTACTTAACAAAAAAAGGTGAAATAACTGAAAACATGTTTTATATTCTAGTTTCTTCAAAATAGCCACCCTTTGCTCTGATTACTGCTTTGCACACTCTTGGCATTCTCTCCATGAGCTTCAAGAGGTAGTCACCTGAAATGGTTTCCACTTCACAGGTGTGCCTTATCAGGGTTAATTAGTGGAATTTCTTGCTTTATCAATGGGGTTGGGACCATCAGTTGTGTTGTGCAGAAGTCAGGTTAATACACAGCCGACAGCCCTATTGGACAACTGTTAAAATTCATATTATGGCAAGAACCAATCAGCTAACTAAAGAAAAACCAGTGGCCATCATTACTTTAAGAAATGAAGGTCAGTCAGTCCGGAAAATTGCAAAAACTTTAAATGTGTCCCCAAGTGGAGTCGCAAAAACCATCAAGCGCTACAACGAAACTGGCACACATGAGGACCGACCCAGGAAAGGAAGACCAAGAGTCACCTCTGCTTCTGAGGATAAGTTCATCCGAGTCACCAGCCTCAGAAATCGCAAGTTAACAGCAGCTCAGATCAGAGACCAGATGAATGCCACACAGAGTTCTAGCAGCAGACCCATCTCTAGAACAACTGTTAAGAGGAGACTGCGCGAATCAGGCCTTCATGGTCAAATAGCTGCTAGGAAACCACTGCTAAGGAGAGGCAACAAGCAGAAGAGATTTGTTTGGGCCAAGAAACACAAGGAATGGACATTAGACCAGTGGAAATCTGTGCTTTGGTCTGATGAGTCCAAATTTGAAATCTTTGGTTCCAACCGCCGTGTCTTTGTGAGACGCAGAAAAGGTGAACGGATGGATTCCACATGCCTGGTTCCCACTGTGAAGCATGGAGGAGGAGGTGTGATGGTGTGGGGGTGTTTTGCTGGTGACACTGTTGGGGATTTATTCAAAATTGTAGGCACACTGAACCAGCATGGCTACCACAGCATCCTGCAGCGACATGCCATCCCATCCGGTTTGCGTTTAGTTGGACGATCATTTATTTTTCAACAGGACAATGACCCCAAACACACCTCCAGGCTGTGTAAGGGCTATTTGACCAAGAAGGAGAGTGATGGAGTGCTGCGGCAGATGACCTGGCCTCCACAGTCACCGGACCTGAACCCAATCGAGATGGTTTGGGGTGAACTGGACCGCAGAGTGAAGGCAAAGGGGCCAACAAGTGCTAAACACCTCTGGGAACTCCTTCAAGACTGTTGGAAAACCATTTCAGGTGACTACCTCTTGAAGCTCATGGAGAGAATGCCAAGAGTGTGCAAAGCAGTAATCAGAGCAAAGGGTGGCTATTTTGAAGAAACTAGAATATAAAACATGTTTTCAGTTATTTCACCTTTTTTTGTTAAGTACATAACTCCACGTGTTCATTCATAGTTTTGATGCCTTCAGTGAGAATCTACAATGTAAATAGTCATGAAAATACAGAAAACGCATTGAATGAGAAGGTGTGTCCAAACTTTTGGCCTGTACTGTATATAGTGTGAACGGAAAGAGGACTGAGTTCAGTTTGTTTTAAAAGGACTATATGGGAGAACAGCCTCTAAATCCTAAATCAATTTTAAAAATCACGTTGCATCAGGCACAAAGGAGAAACTTCAGACGTTCTTCTCTCTAATCTCAAACATGAACACACAGCAAGACTTGAAAATAATGGTGCCTCACACACTACAGGATATTATTAAAATTATCCTGCCAGAAGGTGCATGAATGCACCACCTCATGTGACCAAGACTGATGTAATGCGACAACTTGCTGTAATGTTAATAGTGATTTGCATTCAGAAAAACAAAAGCAGAAGGCTAAACAGCTCTTGATGAGAAACCAGTTGGGGAGATGCAGTGAACATGGTTGTCTGTTGTTCAGCAAGAACTGGAGGTGAGATTTTAATTTTTCAGTTTTATCCATCAACAGTAGTATGCTAGCAAACATGAGCCTCAGGGCTAGAATGTTTACTCGTGTTTGGCAACACCGTCGGCTGCTCTGTACTGATGAAATTGTAACCGGAATCAGTCAGATCAGGACAGCCCCGATGAGCCTGCAAGCAGTTTAGGAGATTTAAGACTGGATCTGTAAACCTGTCACATTACCAGACAATCTGGCCCGAACATCGGTGCTGACCAAGGTCCCAGACCTGATTTCGCCTCTGACTGTCAAGAGAGGTGAATCTGGGATAAATCTGCCCAAAGTCCTGTAGTCTGAGTCTGGCCTGAGTCGCCTGCATTGAGACCATTTCATCCACTACATCTGATCCCAAACGACAACACTACCTAGGAAGCTGCAGTCAAAATCTTAGGAGTATCTGAATTGATACACAAACCATTATTAAAATAAGGATATCCCTAATAATTAATTACATTGTCCGATATGTACACTGTTTTATTACATATATTCTGAGTTCAGATAACCTTGTAAAGAAAATAAATCTACCGTAAATAAAAAGGAAGCTACATGTTTACTGTGATTAATTACCAATGTCAATTAAGGGATTTAAATGTACGTACTTCTTTAAATGGCTACTTGGGGGTTTAAAAATATCAACAGACAGCCACGTTATGGAAAATGTCAGCAGTAATGTAAAGTCTAATTAATTTGAGTTGGTGGTTAAAACATGCAAAACCACAAGTGTGGTCCTTTAGGATGTTAAATGCTGATTCTCTGCTGCATCTGCGTCTCACACCCCACCATCACCACCTTCACAGCTCAGTAGTGGAATGCTTGCTTGTCTATTTATTGGCCCCTGATGGGAAGTTATAACTGATTTTCCCTGCCCTTGCTTTGGGCAGTTTTGGCAATTATACTTGTATAAAGTCATCGAAACACAGCCTGGAGCCAAAATACAAATCTGCATTTATATTTATGCAGACTAAAAAAAATATATAAAACAAACTTTGAGCAGCTGGGTTGTTGCACTGAAATGCAGTTTCAGGATCATTCAGACAGCGGCAACACTGTCTCGCAGTGCCTTAAACAGGAAACCACACAATGTGTCAAACTTCCTGGCTAGCAGGTGCCTTCTTATTTTCTTGCTCGACACCATGTCGCCTGTGCCACACAGCCAGGCTACCTGTCACACACATAAACACACACAGTCAGAGCGATAAAATCTAATACTCACCAGGCCAGCAATGGGAGTAGAAAGCCTGTTTACTCTCTTAATGATACCAGGTTTCAACTGGTTGATCAAGCTATAAAGGAGGGGGGAAATAATCAGCATTATACAAATATTACAGCTTTATGTTGCACATATTTGAGAACAAATATATACTGAATCATCAGGGTCCCATTTCACAACAGAAGCTAAATAGGGCTGAGCTAATTAACATTGATTTCAACTTCCAACAAAAAAAAAAAGCAACCAAAAATTGCTTATGAACCAGTCTGATTGCATCTTAGACAAAAAAACAAGAGCTTTCAGCTAAATTCCATCATTAGACGTCAGGGCTAACCTGCCAGCCTAGACTTGCTTCCACAATGCCTTATTTGTTGGCCTCACTGAGCTTCTGTAGCCACAAGCTGATGTTATAAGAGTCAGTGGTTATTTGGAGTGTGCTTTGGAGGAAACGTTTGTGTAGAAGAAAAAATAATCTTATCTGAAGGTCTGGTGACTGGCCTGTGCTTTTTTCCGCATGTACCTTAAGTTGAAAGTTAATGTGAGATAGTGTGGGCCCTCCAGAGTGCAGCTTAGGATATGATCTTAGGATCTTCTAAAGTGGGTCCAGAGCTGCTGCTGCTGCTGGAACTAAGACGGCAAATTAGCCTGACTACACTCTAACCAGAGGTTTGCATGGTCATTTACCTTGAATTTAATCATCTGAAATTAAAATGTGACATCGTAAAAAGGTCGGTGCATCATTACTCACTCGCAAAGCAGGACTCCATTCTCTAAGGCCGCACGGAAGTCGTTGCAACCAAACGATTTTCCGGTCACTTCCTGAAAAACAACGGTATGGTTAGAATTCATCCACATGCAAACAGCCAGTAACATCAAAAATATCCTTTACTAGAGCCTGATATATTGACCTATATTAGCTTTTAGTATTAGCATTACATCTCTTAGCATGGTATTGGCATACACGACAGTCAAGAAATACAGAAATGCCAAACTTTGTCCACCATTACTGTCTTTCAGAGGCTGTGTTGTGCTCATTTTTGAGCTAGCATGATGGTAGTGGTATCTTGTGAAACTAGACAGCCTAAGGCATCCTTTGGTACCAACCATGTCACCATAGCTCGTCAGGAAAACAGCTAAATAACACTCAAAATTGAGGATACATTTTTGCGAGGGAACAACAGGCATTGCCATTTTTAAAGGGGTCTCTTGAACTCTCATCTCAAGATATCTGAATGAAAATGGGCTCTATGGGTACCCACAAGTCTCCCATAAACTTAACAAGACTTGTTCCCAGTAAAGGTTTTGTCCTTTCCAATCAATGTACTCCTTCAAATATAACCTGAATATGTTCATCCCTCTCAGCTGCAGAGACTCTCATTCATGCATTCATCACTTCCAGACTGGACTACTGCAGTAGTCTCTATAGTTCATCATCCAAAACTCTCAAGAAACTACAATATATCCAGAATTCAGCTGCTCGTCTTCTCACACACTCTCGCACCCATGACCACCACCGCAACCCCATCCTTCATAACCTCCACTAGCTCCCCATCCCCCAGCAATCCACTTCAAACTCCTCATCACCTATAACCCTCCACCACCTGGCGACCCCCTACCTGTCTGAGCTCCTCCGCTAGCACACTCCCTCCCACACTCTCAGGTCTGCTGATGCCAACGTCCTGTCCCCCACCAGGACTAACCACCACACCTGGGGGGACAGGGTCTTCTCCATTGCTGCTCCCACCCTCTGGAACTCTCTCCCTAAATACATCAGAGACTCCCCTCCCTCTCCACCTTCAAAAAAAATCCCTCAAAACACAAACACACCTCTTTAAAACTGCCTACAACCTCTAAAAACTGTGTTCTTCTTCTCCCTCTGTGCATTGTTTCCCTTCTTATGGATTATTTCATTCTTGTTTTGTTTTGTTGTTCTTGTTCTCTGTAAAGCGTGTTGGAGCATCCAAAGAAGCGGTATATAAATCCAATGTATTATTATTAAATTAAAGCTGCGTATTTGTCTTTGTAAAGGACAGACAGACTTTTTGAAAAACAATGAATCACCTAACACCTAAAAACAGTATTGTTCTGGAACTCACAATGTTAACTGTGCCAATATTGGTCTACGTACATCAAATAATTGTCAATATTTAACTGTAAAATGAGAAACCAAAGCATAACAGCGTGTCATTCCTTTAACTCTTCTTTTTGACATAGTTTTCAACTCGTCTATATACTTCTTCAGCATAACCAAATTACTTAAATTCAGTCACGGCTTTAGCTTTTGGCGTGCCACCCTAGGGTTTTCTGAAGCCCCAGGCGTCCACCCTTATGAAAAATTTCTGAGGGACCCACTGCTGACAAATTTATTGTAGTGTAAAATATCCATCTCTGTAGGTATCTTCACAACTCTTACAACACAACTAATTGAGGTTACATTATCAAAATGTTTATGCTATATATTTCTCAGGAGAAAAAAGAATATGGACAATCTATCAGATTTGTTAAAGTCTTAAATATTGACATCACTCTCAAAAATCCTGCCCTGCTATACCTAACACCTGCTCCAGTATGTCCCTAACAGCACTTTAGTGTGGACATAAGTACTGGTGCCATAGTATATAGCAGTACTGAACTGGAGAAAAAACAAAACAATGAAAATTAGATTTAAAGCAACTCAGTTCATAAATTCCAGTGTGGTTTCTACAGCGTTAAACGTATTTTAATTAAACTGTTTGGTACAACTGTTGAGAAACGAGCTGGTCTTTTATATACTCCTGGTAAAATACACATAAAGCTGTTCAGTGGCTGTTAGGAAAAAAAGGTATGGCAAGAATTAGAAAAACAAGGTCCTGGTTGAAGTTAATTAAAGTAATTTTTTAGTCCACAGTGCAAGCATTCCCAAGTTTCTGGAGTTGTTCTCGACAGTAAAATAAAGTGTATTAAGTGAGCGTGGTGCTGTTAAGATTAAGCTGAAAAATCTTCCAACTACTCCACACAAGCAAAGCTCTGTACAAATAATCACAGAAAATCTACCGAGCCAAAAAGCGGGCTATAAAAGAATAATGTATGTGGACAAGCATTCTACAAAAAAATAGCAAATATGCTTTTGATCAGAACAAAGAATACAACATAACCTAAATGATTTTACATGGCAGAGGCAAGCACAAGGCAAAAGGGGCTTTGTAATGAGGACATAAAAATGGGGCTATTAAGGTTCGGCTCCATAACTAACAGAGGGCCCCAAAAGGCTATTCTTCTCACTAATTAGTCCCCCCAGGAATCCACAATCACAATTCATTTCTGGTAGAACTGGGCAGCGGGCACGGAGCGGAGGCTTCTCTGTGGAATCAGACAGACAATGCAGTGCCAGGTTAACACAATAAAACACAATCATGTGGTCAAGATACTGTCTGTTCTACAGCACCAGAACTTTAATTGGTGATTTCAATAAATAACTGCCCCTATGAAACCACAGATACAATGGATTTCAACCATGTGCTCTTAAGTGTGACTTCCAAACTCTCTACAAAGCCTCATTTGTTAAAGGCATCATCACTGAATCTGTGTGTGATCCAGTACAATCATATTGTCTATAGAATAATGTCACATTTACAGCTGCAAATATTTTTACCTCCGCCAAGGAGGTTATGTTTTTGCCGCCGTTGGTCTGTTTGTTTGTCTGCAAAAAAACTCAAACTTCTGAACGGATTTTGATGAAATTTTCAGGAAAGGTTGATAATGGGACAAGGAACTGATGATAAAGTTTTGGTGGTGATCAGTTGAAGCGAAGTGGATAAAATAATAAAATGGTGGGAAATCCGAGCTGCTTGGCGGAGGTCTGCGCTCTCCGAGTGCTTTTCTAGTTTAAAAAATGGAATGATCATGAATGAACTTCTCAAGCAGCAACCAGCAAGAGACACAAAATGACTACAAAGAGACACAAAAAAACAGATAGAAAATTAACTCAAAAGAGATAAAAACTTACCGCAGAGAGACACCCAACAGCCAAAAAATATGAAAAATTATCACAAACAGACACAAAAAAAGCCCAATCAGGCACAAAATCAACACAAAGACACACAAAATTACCACAAACAGACACAAAAAAGCCAGAAAAAGATGAACAATAAACACAAAGAGACACATACAGACTACAAGAAGTCCTTTCAGGCAAAAAAATCAACACAAAGACAGAAAAAATGACCACAAAAGAGACACAAAACAGCCAAAAAGAGATGAAAAATTACTACAAAGAGACATAAAAACAACCAAAACAAATGTAAAATGAACTCAAAAGCCCAATCAGGCCCAAAATCAACTCAAAGACAGACAGAATTTCCACAAAAGAGACAAAAAAACAACCAAAACGGGAACAAAATTGACTCAAAGATAGACAAAATTACCAGAGAGAGAAACAAAAAGACAAAAAAACCCCAATCCAGCACAAAACCAACTGAAAGAGACACAAATTACCACAAAGAAACAAAAATTCACCACAAAGAAACATAAACCAAAATGAACTCCAGAAATACACAAAATTACCACAACGAGACACAAACCGACTACAAAGAGGCACGAAAAAACCAATCAGGCACAAAATCAACTCAGAGACACAAAATAACCTCAAAGAGACACAAAACAACCAAAATAAGATGAGAAATTAGCACAAAGAGACACAAAAAGACTAACAATAGACACAAAAAAAACCCAATCCGGCACAAAACCAACTTGAAGAGCCACAAAATTACCACAAAGAGATGCAAAAGCCACCACAAAGTCTGTGTCTCGCTCCTATGTAGGAGAGGTCGTGGGGCCTTTTTTGCATATCTGTGCCCAGAGGCCCCCTGTGTCATAATCTGCTCATGGCTCTAGCATCATAATATGAGGATATGAAGCTTTTCTGTGTCATATTTAAAAGAAAACAGAATATCTTTGGATTTCGGATTGTTAATTGAATAAAACAAGACATCTGAAGATGTTACCTTGGGCTTTTAAGAAATTAAAACCACACTTTTTTTAATTATTTTATGAGACAAATTATTACCTGAGCAAATAACAGGCAGACTTTCTAAAAGTGGAGATAGCTGTAAGTTGCAGACCCGGGAAAATTAAAGGATAATTGTGCTACATGTAAGATATAAATCCTCTTCTTAAGGAGATGATGGGTACTGATCTCAAACAGAGCAACACCTGCTCCTGTTTCACCACAGTCTAAATGGCCTGTTTACATAATGTAGAAGAGGCCAATCCATCCTTTGTTCTTCTGGAGTTCAGTAGGCACTGAGCAAAAAACAGTTAGGCATAATTGCCGCTGGTACTGTGCTAATGACAAACAGCAACAATTTCTGGACACTTGAATACATGGAAGCATATTATCCTGCAATCTGTAACACTGAATATTAGTGCTCACACATTCCCAATGTTGCTTGGCACGAGGGAGCGATTATGACACCATTTACAATACCATTTCCTTAAAAGCAGCGTGCTTTGCTCTCCTCCTGTCTCCCACACACACACACACACACACACACACACACACACACACATCTCTGCTCATCCATCCTTTCATTCGTCAGTGCAGGGAAATAGATGGGTAAAATTGGCATGGGCTTACTGCCAAGAGCGCTCTGGACAGAATTCTCATAATGATCCTCTCAGACACAATTGACATTAATGGTCCCATTTAGAGTTGGTCAACACTCAGTGCCCACAGTCTACAAGTTGTATTCATTGGTTATGATTTAAGGATTACAACTCCAACAGTGTTTGGACAGGAGCAGCCTGTAACAACCTAGAAAATGCACTGCTGTAAAACCACATCCTCCACAATGTGCGCATGGCAAAGGCCTGCCTACACCACATCTCTGTGGACGGGCACTAAAGAACAAACAACATTACCTAATTATCTGCCTTCCCTCCATGTGCATTCCCCTCTGAGGCTCCTGCAGTCAAATCATTTTTTATCTGTGCAACCACACACAATTCTCACACTGAGCTCTCTGCGTCAGGTGGCTTACCTGAGTCTTATCAGGGTATTTTTTGCATTTCAACTCACAGATTAGTCTGTAAATTTGACTTTATGAGCGCTGAGTCAGAGTCATTTAAAACACGAGAGCACCAATTGTTTTTAAAGTGAGCTAAAGTCCCAATATACAAACAATGCACAAGTGGTTATTTCATGGCTGAAATGTCTGCCACTGTCTCACTGTCTAAAACATTTCCTGTCTCCACCAGGGGTTAACTGACTGCCTGGCCAAATCTTCATGGCTGTTTGCACAGGAGTGAGTGAAGAGGAGCACAAATAGGCTCTAAGACAAATAAAGAAATAAAGCAGGGATGAAATTGAACCGTGTACCTCAATCCAGCGTTGAGCCTCGTTGAACGCGTCTGCACAGCTGACACTGGTCTGCTGGCGCCACTCCATCGTCTCTCCTCTCAGCAAGCAAAAGGCACGACTCTAATGAAACAGCACAAGAGCTCACATTTAGTTAAAGGCGTTAATCATGCAGCCACACCACCGAGATCATCAGTTAAGTTCAATTAAAGTCAACAAACATGCGGAAAACTCATGCAATCTGATTTTTAAAAAGACATATTTAGTCTCCTCCTTGTTGAGTCACCTTGTGCTGACTACAGCTGCTCACCGGTGAAAGTTCTCCTCTAATTGACACCCAGTTTATCACCGGACCCTGCACACTTCTGCAACCGACCTTCCATCACTGACGAGTTCCGCTTATTGGTCAAAGTGGAGAGGAAGGTCTCCGCCCACTGCCAAACTACAGGCAAACTTTTCTGAGCTGAAGTGAAACCGAGTGGAAGATCTGCAGAGTCTCATCGACCCTCTGGTGGCCTGATGATGTGTGACACTGTGACACTGTGCACAGGGCAACACATGAAGGCAAGACAAGCTTATTTGAGCACTCTTTCAAATACACAAGCAATTAATAGACCATTAAACAAGGTGAAGACCATAAGAACACATAGAAAATTAACATAAGTTGGTATAAAGATAGAAAAAAAGATGAAATAAAAGTGCAATAGACACATTAGAGGCAGTCACACATTAGTCGCCTGTGCTATTAGATTTTCTGTCGACTTTATTTCCAAGTATTATCCAGATGGTGTTTCAAAGAGTTGTTCAAACTCCCAGGAACAACACTCTAGAGGAGAAATGCTGAATACTTTATTTACTTATTTAGATACTTACTTACTGAGGGTGTTTTCACATATAGTCCCTATTAAACAGACCAAACTCAGTCCTCTTAAAGTGCACCAAAACCCAGACCAACAGAAATGGGGCTCAGTTCTTTTTGTGTCCACATTGTCAGTTCATTTGAAAGAGGACTCAGTTCTCTTTCTGGTCAGCCTCAGCTCTGATGGAGCCCCAGTCCTCTTTCTGTTCTCACTACATATAATGTATAATGAAGCCCCTCATTTTCAGATGATCTTCAAACTGGAGGAAACCTTTCATGTTTCTGTGCTGTAGACTGTTGCAGTTTGATGTATTCTACATTCCACATCTGGAGACGTGCAGTAAACTTGGACCAAACTACTTCTCGTCCTGCAGCCTTGCAAGCGTTACAGGCCGACGGGGTTGTGTCTGTTTCTCCAGTGCAACACCATGTGATCCAGAGGGCTAAATACAATGGCTAAGAGCAAAGCCAACATGGAGGGCTTTGTGTTCACAAGGCACAGGTTAAGTCAACCACACCATGGACTTGAAGCCAGGTGGTCTGAGTACGGTTCACTTCAGAGGGGTCTGAGTTCTTTTGGAGTGTTCACATATGCATAGACGATGCTGAGTCACCGCTCTGAGTCTGTTTAGAGGGCTGAAAAGGACCAAGTCTCAAAACATCTTTAGTTATTGTGTTGTAGTCAAGACTACCTAAACTGAAATTAGGCCATGACCAAGACCAGGTTGTATCAAGACCTAGATAAGACCAAGACTTTGAGGGGTTGAGACAGAGTCGAGACTAGTGCCAGTTCCACTGCATGACACTCTTACAATAAAATATGAAACATGCAAACCAGGCACTCTTCAAATTGATCTGAAAGAGCCACCATCTAATAAAAACACTTACAGAAAACAAATTAAGATTCATCTTCATTCATCTATTTTATTGCCGTACTGTATATATTTGTGAATGTATGTATGTATGTATGTATGTATGTAAGTGCATCATGAGAAATGTCTTGATAAAATAATTAATTGCATTGCAGAGGTGAATTTAATTTTAATTTTCCTTTGTTTTCTGTGAGCAAACAAACACCAGGGAGTTGATGTCAACTTAACCATCTTTATTCAACACTTCTTTTTGCACATGCAATTTAGTGATATCTGCGCTGTCATGGTCTTGATTGGTCAAGAAGTAACATCCAGATACCTCTTTGTCTGAGACCAAGACCTCCAAAAAGTGGTCTTAAAACCAGCCTCGAGACCAAGACCGATCTGGATCTTGACCTTGAAGGGTCAAATTTGAATAAATTGTGTCTTAAATGCTGCTTTATGTATTTGTGTATTTATTTATTGCAAAATAAAAGTTGCTAAAACCCTCCCAGTTCCCACAAACAATACAGAGGACATGACCTTGGGTCCTCAGTTGTATTGATGACTAAACGGGCCCAGAACAGGCCCAGGGGCCAAAGGATTAAGGGGGCCTCTAAGCCAAAGCCTCTATGTGAAGTTGCTGCTATTGACCTTGTACTTTTGTCACACTGTCAAACGGCTTTGTCATTCATGCATAGGTGTGTTTTTCAAGGGGGATGCAGGGAACACATCTCCCTCAATACGTAGAGTGTGTGCATTTGTCCCTTTACCCCCCCATAAAAGTATGACAGTAGCAGAGGACTTTTATTTTGAACAAATTAATGACATTTACACCATAGATTGATGCAGAAAAGGCGGGAATTAGTGCATAAATTTTCACAAAATTCAGGAAATTAATTGTGAGACGCTCAAAATTTTCTGGCAGAGGACCCCTAGACCTAGAGTTTTGTGTGTTTCCCCTTCAGTCTCAAAAGGAAACCTGCACCCTTGAATTCATGTCAATAACAGAGCCCCAAAGTTCTAAAGAAAGGCCCTAAAAAAGCATCAGAAGCTGTGTCTAAGGTGTACACACACACACAAATTCACACACACACAGGTGTGCTGTAAATCTTTTTAAGGTACATGTAAATTTAGTTATTGTGCTGTCGGTTGCCACTCAGCGTACCTGCCCTGCTGGGAGGCAGACATCTGGTTTGATTTCACAGCTATGGTATGTGAAATGTAAGAAACCATGTGTAACCTATTAACTCAAAGGTATGACGAGCATTTAAATGGCAAATGTGTGAAATAAAATGTAACAGATATAGAAACAGTCTGCTTCTGTCTGCTCTTCATTTCTTTCATCCCCCTGTCCTCTCCTGTAAAGATAGCAGCAGCAGCCACAGCCGCCTGATACAAATGCAAAATATGACTGTGTTTCAAGGGCAGGTCTCTTCACTCTCTTGCCTTTTGTATTGAAGTGATGAAGGATGGCCTGTGACAATTTAATTTTCACACATGAGCTGCATATATGAATAGAAAATTGTTTTTCTTTTGTATTCTTTTCCCACATTTGAAAGCAAAGCATAATAAGAAGCTGGTGTGTAGGCCTCATCTCGTATTACAGCACATGCTCACTCCAATCCAATTTCCTGCCAAATGCCCAAAGAGGTGCACTATATGCGGAACAAGGGCGGTGATGGAATCACAAAATCTAAAAGTTAAATTAGGTGCAGGGGTGTAGGACACTGTCGAAGATTTAATGAGATGCCTATTAAGAGCACGGGGAACATTATGTGAGGCATAAACTTCACAGACTTTCAAGTTATTATCTTAATCGGGGAAATTAAAAGATAATATCCTGCACCATCTGGTAGTATTATTACACCACCAGAACAATAGGGGTTAACTTTTTTTTTTGCTTCAATCCTAAATCCTCTGGCTCACTGCGAGTATTAAGAATGAGAGTGTCCTCAATGCTCTGAAATTTTATCAAAGCACTTCGCCACAACGTGTACAAAACATTTTTATACATCCATCCAAGGACACCTCCACAGTGATGCTTTAATTCTTTTCCATTTAGTTCTGAACACAACGGGTGGACACTCAGAAGCCGTAGAGTTGTGATAGAAGAAACACATCTGAGGATTTACTGCTCTATCAAAGAGCAAAGGGTTTTGTTTATCCGTTTGTTGTGCTTGATATTAGCTGGAATTATCTCAGCTTGTTGAATCTCTGCTATATTCATGTCAGCGTCTTCATGTGAGATCGTGACCGCAGCTCAGTGTTCTGTGTCAGCAGCATGCTCTCTCCAAACGGAAGGAAACAGTACTCCACCATCCCTGCACATGTGATGCTAATTGATCTTGAAAACTGAAGAGTGGCGCACTTGAGAAAACAGATTGATGCTCATCATCTTTATTACAGGAATGAGGGTTTGTTGCACATACTGATGTTGCTGATTAGATGAGGAGGGAGATAAGCAAGCATCAGCCAAAGTATGATCAGCTCATATAGACTGTAATGATGCAAACAGGTCCCAGAGGGCGTAAGTTTTGTTTCCACACATATGTAGGAGGGGAGTTGGGCTCCTCCCCCAGGAAGACTGAGCATCAAATGTATTGTTTCCTGCCGCCTGACACATTTTTCTGCACTAATTTGTGCCTTTTTGGCATAAATTTATGGTGGAGATGACTTTCATTTTGTCAAAGTCCTCTGCTACCCTCAAGTTTTTAATTCAAGTTTTTATTGTTTTTGAAGGCTTGGTAAATGGCACACATATATTATTTTCTGGGCATACATGAATACAAGGCACATGTTTTTATAATATGGAGATGGACTCCGGTGCATAACATAAAACAAAATAAGATAAATTAAATCAAATTGAATAAAATTAAAATAAAATAAAATAAAAATAACAAGTGAAGGGAAAAAAGAAAACAACCTAACAAACAATATATTGCACATATTCTAAATATTGAGGCGGACACAACCCCCCCACCCCCAAAACTGACATCTATACTGGTCCTGTGACAATTTTATTTATTCATTTTTTTCTTTGTATTTTTGTATTATTTCACATATGAAGGGACCAAAAAAGATAAGATAAAAGTAATTTATTAAATCAGCAAATTACTTATACATTGTTTCATAGGATGTAGATAAATAAACCCATACATTTAAATCTAAGTTCAAGAATACATTATATAACAACTAGGTACACACAGAGATCAACACACATGATACCCACATGCCTAATCATACCTGCTCGTACCTATGAATGTGTGTCCCCAGACATGGACACATAGTTACCCACATATTTATATGAACAATAAAGAACAAGAAAACACTTCTATGCTATTGTCCTGTGACAGTTCATTCAAATTCTGTATATAATGTAAGTTGATATGTGTTCTTAATGATTATTAAGTTTGTTTAAAAGCAGCCTACCTGTAATGCACAGTGCCATACTCCTAAACTCTAATACGTACAGAATGGACACTGGGTTGCGGCTACATTAAATTAATATTGAAAAGAGGTATAAGGCTTTGATGCAATAATCTAGAGTCAAAACAACATACTGTAATCAATAAATAGCCAGTATACACTGCTGGTTTGCAATTGTTATTCTAAATTTTGAAAAAGTTTACTAATTTTCTTTCATTTTGCATCACATTGACTATGCAGAGTGCCATGTCTGTCATTTCCATTCTTGCTGCTGTCAAAGTTT